TTGTGAAATAAATGTTCAGAGATAATATCCAAGCGACGCAGTGGCTACACACATGTGAGAGGAGTCTGACACGTTTGCACGTTACATCCAGCCCATTGGCTGCGGGGGGGGGAAAGCTTGCTTCTCAAAAAGTTAATACCTTAGTGGGAAGAAAAGAAGAGTGAAAGGGACAGCAAAAAGGAGGAAGGGGTATGAAAATCACCAATTTGCCTAAAAATACTTTTGGATTACCCTCCTTCCATCCTTTATGGCATGTAAGTTTGCTACTGACCAGTGCTGCACCCCCTCACAGAAGAAAGTCCTAGCGACAACTACGATTACACCACCTTTACATATTGACCATATATTTATGGTTGGCTAATGCGGGTCACATTTTGTTCAATGCAGAAAAAATACCGTCTTTTCTGTTAAATTACAGTTGTTAAAGGGTGACAGAAATAGAAAACATTTAGTTCACGTGAAGTGTTTTAAAATAACAACAATTAACCATGTTTGCCTTTTGAACAAGCTACATCAAACACAACGTGGTCTATTGAAGCGTGCGATACTGCATGTACTGTGCGCAATATACATGTACGTGTACAGTACGTGTAGGCTACATGTACGCTGTAAATGTCAGCGTTCGGGCGATGACGTCATCCAATCAGCCTGGGGGCTGAGGGTTTTTTTGTGGGCCGGGAAACGCAGGATCTTTTTATTCATTTGGGGTCACAATTAATGGGGTAAATATCAAATTTACGATGTTTTTGAAACGGTGAAGTATTTATTGTTATTTTAAAATACTTCACGTGAACTAAATGTTTGTTTGTTTTTTTTATGTCTGTTACCTTTTAAATTACAGTTGTGATATGACATGTCTTCTTTTTGTAACCTTCGAGAGAGGGCAGTCTTTCTTTGAGTGGAGTCCTGAGTTTGTCATTCACGACTTTAGGAAACCCAGGCAGTATAGCCTATCACGTGATTGTAAAGTCTTTTTTTTTTTCTCCCAAAAGCATTGAGCTTTTCAGATCTTACATACAGCAGCGGATCCAGGGATTGGATCTGCTCTGAGACAAAAAGGTAAACAATAGGAAATAACTGAAGTAAATTCACCGATACCATTGTAAACAACGCACGTCATGTATAAGTTCATCATCGCTTCTGCTTGTCCACAAAAATAGAGAAAGTCCTGGATCCGCCCTGATATACTTTACCAATCCGGAATCATACACAGTTGTTGAATAATTCGACCGCTACTACCATTGTTGATTGTCACCTGTTACTACAGGAGTTAAATACATGTACACGCTTTCCTTGCGGTTGCGATCTCATAACAGTCATTATTTGAAGAGTTTACTTATATTGGGTATTAGCCCCACAAATAGGGCTGCAGTGGCTCTCTTTTACAATCTGTCTCTTATCTGTCGCCATCACAGATGTGGGGCTAGTTGGGTACATACTGAATATTTTGTGCACCCGTTTGCCATGAATGAATTTTTTTCAGGTGACATTTTTTTCAGCGTGCCGACATCATGCCCTCAACCACTCATCTCAAGTTAAAGATGCCAACTCATGTTTCTTGTTCCCACATCATGTTTGGTAGTTCTTCACAGAAACTTGGGTCTCCAGATTCTGGTGTTATGATCAGGACGGTAATCTTTTCTTGTAGGAGAGCTGCTAAACTGCGGAGTCACCGAATGCTGGAAAAGTTTTTAAAAAGAAAAGAAAGATCTGTCGTATACGGTGATTTAAGGGAATATTCATGTATTGATACATGGTGTTTTCCAATTAGAACGGCCTCGGTATTTTGTTGACATAGTTACGTTTCACTTAAATGTTATCATATTATGACGGCAGGTTCACACTTTCTAGTCGAGTAGTTTGTCAACTGAACCCCGCAAATGATACGTCTAGGAAAGGGTTTTAAGATGACGTTTTGGGTCAGTGGCTTTGACCAAACGATGAGAGCTTTTCTTGGAAGATTGTCGATCATTAAGTTTATTGAAAAAAAGGAGAGAGACTCTGAATGCCTTGAACACTCTTTGATGTGAAAAGGACGCCACCTATTGTCACTCTTTTGAAGGTCAGTGTAACTTTAACTGTATTTTGCAATTAATTAAGAGCTTTGAAAGAATTTCGGTTTTACTTGTGGGATTTGTTCCATTATGTCCGAATTCTCACCAGAAGGCCTATCCTTAACTTTATGGACTTCCAGTTTTAATTTCAAAATCCTGATATCTTTTTTTCAGATGTCACGACCATATAGTTTGGGTGAATGTAAAGGTTATGCGTTGCTGGCGTCTCCATAGTTCATGGCGTCTCAGAGGCTGTTGTTGTCATTTTAATTTAGTTACAACAAATGCATAAACGGTTTACTCGAGTCCGTTCTAGTGAAACAAAACTTTTGCCCTCTGAGGACACATTAACGCATAACCTCTATTTGGACATCTATTCGTCTATCGGAAAGTTCGTGGTGGAAATTATGTAAGGTAAGTCAAGAAAAGTACACCGCTAGGACTGAACAAATATACAGTGTTACATAAAACACTTGCTCTAGATTAATGTTGTGAAAACTTGACCCGAAACCGAAGTTCAGTAGAGTCAGGCTGGTTTCGGAACGTGTCGGGTTCGGATTTTCGTTTTCAATTCAAGTTCAGGTCGGGTTAGTTCAGTTTAAGCCATCTTGGTAAAAACTCAAAAGAAGCCGAGGGAAAAAACAGGGGCATTAATTATAACCGCAGAGTCGCAGTACCTGGTACGATCAAAATTTACCCCACGGTATAATTTCTGCACTTACTTCAATCGTTACTGAAAAAAAAAAATTGGCAAAAATTTCCGCGATGATTTTGCCGAACGAATCACGTCAGGCAGATGTTCTTTTCCTGGTCGGTTCGTTTTTTTTCTCCTCAATTTTTGTCGGACTAAGTTCAAATCGATTTTAGGTCCAATTCAGTGTATATATGTAATGCTTGAAGTTGGTTTGGCATGTTCAACCCGATCCGATGCGCGGTTCAAAAATAAAGGTGACTTTGGGAATCAACGCTATCTGAACCAGATGCCTTTTTAGTGCGCGCACGGACGTCCCTTTCGAGGAACACACACAAAAAAAATTGCGAAAGTAGACTTACTTGGGGACTAGGTGTAGCGAAACCAAAAAGTCTCCTGCAACGAAAAAGTAAACCAATCAGTTACATCTTTTAAATTTGGTTTAGGTTTTACAAACTGTATTTAGATGTCAGATTTCAACTTATTTATGGTAAACCACGTTTATCCAGGGGCGTAGCGATCGCGAAAGCGTTTTCTTTTTTGGGGGGAGGTGTGCCAAGGTCACACTAACCTGGTGTCATGTAAAAGGAAAATCCATGGTACGCTACATTTCATGTTTCAGGGGAAGTGCCAACGATGTACCAAGTTTGCCCTATTTGCCGACTGGAATTAATTATGGTGCGGGGGCGGGGGTGGCGCACCCATACACCCCCGATCGCTATGCCCCTGCACATATCTGTCATTTAGTTAACAGATAACAATGTAAATCTGTTAACTCCAACATGAAAACAAATTACAGAAATGAAAGCAAATCACCCTAAGTCGATCTCTTGCAGTGCTATCTGCTTAAACAACTAACCCCACATTTTACAGAGTCCAGCTGGTTTCATTTGTAAGAAATTCAGCACACTCAACCTGCTTTCATCAAGGGCGGGTGGCGGGGGGGGGAGCAAAGATTTTAGAGGGATTACAGAATAGGACTTCCTTTGTGTAACCTTTTGCTGGCCTTGAGTTCTGAGGTTGAATTGTAATCCTTTTTGTTACGTTTTGGGAAATAAGGGAAATGAAACAGTCGCTTCAAAACCAATGTGTAATAAGTAACCCTCTTTTTGAGGAAGACGAAGGTGTGCCCCCTTGTATCTCCCCCATCTAACAATCAAACTCTCCCCCCCTCCCATCGCTGTGGTGAATTTTCTTGTCTGTGAAGAAATGGAACCCAACTCAAATATTTTTCTCACCATCGGAACATTCTAGCTAAAATGAAAGTGGTGACAAGAGCAACCAGAATCACTGCCACCGCTGACACGATTACTGCCACAATGATTGTTATGTTGTCTCTTTCCTCAGGTGGATCTGGATTTCAGGAGAAAATGCCCCCCCCCCAAAATTATCAAAATAAAATTAAAAAAACTGGCAGAACTAGCAGTATCACCGTCGGCCATCTTTCTAATAAGTTTGCAAGTTTGTGTACATATTTTTAAAATAAGTACATGTGTACTACCTCAAACGCTGTTTTATTCGGAATACGGGTGATTCACAACAGTGCGCCTTCAAGAGTTTGCAATGGCGTTGGCCAATCACAACGCACGAAATCTGTCGACCCTTTCCAAACGCGCATTGGGTCGACAGATTTCACGCATGTGATTGGCCAACACGTTTCAAACTCTTGGAGGCGCACTATTGTGAAACTCCCGTGTTGAAAAAATAATTCTAGACAGTTAACAATTTTTTTTTCAGGAATGTTGAATACCCCAAATATACATCATATTAAACCAATTATGAACCGTGGAATGTTTGGTGGGGAAATGTTGCACATCAAGGAAAGAAAGGTGCCACAAGTTAACATTCATATATGCCTTCATGACAATTCCCTCAGCGTCACAATGTGGAATGTTGTTTTAACCCTGGGGCAGTGGTACATGGGGGGGGGGGAAGTTTCCCTAGAGATACGTTGCCAATTGTTCAAAGGAAATGAAAAGCGCCATAATTTTAGACACGGTACTGGTACACCTGATCGGGGAGGGGCGCGGTGGGGGTAAGGATTCTTTTACGGACGGAAGAAAACGGAACAGTGATTTTTGGGGAAAATTCCATCCTCTCGGCCCAAGACCTCTATGCCATTGTCTGAGGGTTATAACCGTTGCATCGTTTTTTGCAGTACTAATTTCATGCTGTACAAAATCACAAAGCCCTGTTGCAAACCCATCGGCACGAATCACGTTGTCAAAACGAAATTAAGTGACTTGACAGAAGTGGCAGGACTTACTGTCCGGATTTCCCACAATTATTACTTCGATGTCATTTTCAGGCCTTGTTGTTGGAGCTGGCCTTGCAGCGGTCGATGTGACAGAAGGCGTTTGACCAGGCGAGGCTGGAGCGACGGGTGTGGGCTGTGTTGTTGTAACAGTCGTCCGTGTGGTGGTAGGCGTTGTCTGCGTTACTGGCCGAACACTTGGGGTTGAAGGAACTGTTGCGACTGATGTGGCTAACCGGGTTGTTACTGTAGTGGGCTGGCCTGTCACTGCAGTTTGTTGGGATTGCGTTATGGTGACGTGGGTCGTCGTTGTAGCAGTTTGAGAAAAGGCCTCAGTAGATTGAGTTGATGTTGTGAAAGATTTGGTTGTGGGTACAACTGTTGTTGTTGCTTCAGGTGTCGTGGTTTGCTCGGTTGATGTCGTTGGCTGAATTGTTGTCGTTGTATCCCAAAAATTGATTGTGATATTAAAGAGCGGTGGATTAGGAATTGGTCGTGGGCAGATGATGTCATGGGTTTCATTGCCGCAGTAGACTGCTCCACAGCGATTATCGGCTGTACATCCTAATAAGATGGTGCCACTAAAATTCGTCATACCAAGACTCTGAGTGAGAACAAACAACGAGGACAGTTACAAAGTGTAGCAGAGAGTCCATGATTAACTCATGTGGGGTACCCTTGGGACTGGGGATTTGTAGTTGATCACAATAGTAAAGGCTACAGAGGCGCACTAGGCCTACATCATGAAGAAAAACTACGAATATCCGATGAGTCGGTTTTCTCTGCAGAGAAATGGGTACTTGGGATAAGATAGACTGTGGAGACCCAAGCACCTAGTAATGCATGCTTCCCATCCGTACTTTCAGAAGCGTAAATCTCTGTTCTTGAGTGGGGCGTGGCAGTGGGGGATGACCAGTGCAGGGTTTGGGGGATTAAATCATTTTGATGCTGTAATTCCCTCGGGCAACCCCCCAAGTCAGTTTCGTGGGATCGGTGGATTTTTTCCTGATGCTATGAAAGTCCTTGGTATTAATTCATGTGTCACATTAAGGCAAGTGAATTTATTTTCTTTCTTTTTGCATTATTCACGAAACCATATGACAATATGAGCATAATACTGGACATATATGAAGATAAGATTGGCTCCTCCTCAAATCAATATTAACTGTAATAGCCAGAATTCGGAATGTTGAAAAATAATCCACATTATGAAAAACATCCTAATATTAATACTGTAATGTGCCCACCTTCTCTGACACAAGTACTCAAATCTTACTCTAATGTTTATATTGCTGAGTTACCTAAATCTGTCTCTTTAATAACTGAATGCATGGGTTTAATAATGAGCATTTTTGCTTGTCAAAAAAAACAACAACTGGGCGGCGATGCTATGACCCATCTCTCCGTCTAAAACTAGGGGGAGGACATGCACACGTCCCTGGGATTTAAGCCTCGTGTGTATTTTAAAAAAAATGAAATGTATCTTACCTGACCGCAAAATGTGACCAGAAAAAACACAGCAAGATGGACGAAGTTCACGCTAGATTCGTACATACTAGCCTTGCCTTCAGCACATTAAGATCAAGAAACCTCACCATTGCAAAGGATACTTATTCATTCCTTGAAGGGCTGCTGTTTCCAAAACATTTATCTAGATTATATTTTCAGGCGACGCCCTTTAGCGTTCGATATTGTGTACGACTCCCAACAGTTTGTCGTCGGCCTGCGCTTTACTAACACGCAGTGTGAGTCATAGACTTCCTGCAGGGGTCGCTACATGCACATATCACGGACTACATTTTTTTATTTTGACATAATGCACCCTTTATTCTCCCACAGTAAGGTCACAAAAAGACGGGGAAAACCTGGCACGGTTGAACTGAATTCTGCCTGAACGCATTATCTTTACCAACACAAAAAAATATCTCTGCTTCAATGAACTCCATAAACAGGTATTGCACTTAATGTAGGCCCGTTACTCAACGCCCTTGTAAAAAAGTACATGTAGATGTATCCCTCTGACATAATGTGGGTGTTGAGTCACAGATTGAGATCTGTGGCCGCTCTATCCTGGCTCAGTGTACTAGCTTTCAGAAGGTAGAGCAACATGTGACCCCATATTTACTCGCTCTCAGGAATTAAGAATCTCACTGAAAGATATACGTGTTCTTCATGGCGTCATAGGACTGGATCAGCCATGAACCTTATTCCACCGTCCAAAACATAATGAGGTAGACAACAGTCAAACAAAAGTTGTTTTTAATCAGAATTTTCCTAAAATAGCTGCTTATCAAACTCGGATGGATACGGAGTCTATAAGTTTTCCCCCCCCCCCATAAAAAAAGTTTATAGAGTTTATGCATGTAGAAGATAAAATATGTTTTTGTAAGGGTGCCAATAACCAGGCGAAAAAAGAATGCAACTGAATGCAATTTATTTCAATAGGCTCACGCACAAACTGATGACTTCATAGTTTGTTTACATGTGTTTTCCTAAGAGTGCCAAGTGAGGGCGACAGATACTAGATCCAAGCCAGAAAAGCAACCTGCCAGTAAACAAAACGACGTCACTACTACACAGGCCGATTTTTAATCAATACGGCCAAACTTGTAGGCCTACGAAAATCAGCAAAATGTTTTCCTAATTCTTGATCCGAAGTGTTTTTACAGCCATCTTAAAAATAAAACATGTTTATATTTGAAAGGTAAATTCGTTGAGTACCGATAAGCTGTCGTGTGACTTCAAAGTCCCCTTTTAAGCGTGGAAACCGAAAAGAAGAGAATTCTGCTGGGAAATATCCCTCATGGTTATTTTAAGGCAAGACACAAAATGTACACCACATTTGTACGCATCTTTAAAGTCTTTGATTTCATGCAGAACCATGCTTATTCAGCCCTCCGTGATGCGTATACGCATTTTATACTGAGTATAACGTAAATAATAGTTTAATATAGCTAGATATTAAGTATATATGGGAATACATAATAAAACATCTCTACCATAAATATAATTATGATCAGCATACATTTCAGACTGTCAACAGAAAAATATTTTGGCACTTACAGTTCAAGGTATTTTCTGTAAAAGGAAAGTAAGTTTTCTATAAATATTGAAAGGGAAGTTGGCCAAAGACAAATATCTTATTCTGTTTTGACCAATTCAAACTATTTTTCTTTTGCAAACTATTTATTCCGAATTTGTCCAGTATCTATCTATCAAGGAGTGTTCAGAAAACCTTCTTAGCGATGGAAGCATCCACTGTTTTTACATGTCACCTCAACGCTCGAAGTACAGTCACAGTAAGATATTTTACAAGCACGAACGATTGTCAAATATTCTTAAAAGCAAAACTAACCCACTCCAAGAAGGGACAGATCTCAATATCTGAAGTTATTTGACCGCAATTTTACGCCAGTGTTTAAATCTAGTTGTTAGCTCAACATGTAATTAAATAATTCATAAAACGTGTTGTCCAATCAACGGTCTGATGGCATTTATAAATGCAGCGTTGAATTTACTTCAGTATGGGAAATTGTTTTGTCTCCATAACATGTTTGATCGAGTGGCATTTCCGTTTCTCGTGAACAGATTGTCATCATTCCACGTTCTAGAATTCGTGGTATTGCCATTCCAACGAGCAGGGAAGTCCCATCGCGACCAATTCTGCAAAAAAAGAAATTCAAAGATCACTTGTTCACAGTGCTTAACGAGCTAGCCAATTCTTATCACACAAGAAACTTTTCATAAGAATGTGAACACAGTTACAGTGAAAGTTCGAAAATGTTTATGTTTCTCATTTTAAAAACAATTTTAAAACACCATGGTAAAAAACATGCAGGCACAAATTTGCAAATTTTTTTTTTAAAGAAAGTTTGCCCATTTGACTACAAGTAGATTTTATTTCCAGAACAGACAATTACAAGAAGAGGACAGTCGGCTTCTCAAGCCCGAAGCGAAGCATGCTTGTATAGATCAAATACCTCTTGGGCTGCGAGGATAATACAGTTACTTCGAAAGGACTTTTAAAATGTTAATTTTGTTTTGTAGTGTTTTTATATTTGAGGACATCAAGCAATAGGAAAGACTTATTTTCAGAAAGCAAACGACAGAAGGACTAGAATGTTCTTTGAAAACAACAAAACCAAAGGACAGAATGAAAAGATGAAAATACCTGTTGGATGTTAACACTTCCGCGTGAAGCATTCGACCTGTTCAGAAAATGAAGCATAAATTGGATAATGAATGTAATCAATGAAGCGGCGAGGTTTGTAAATGTGCCAAATTAAAAGTAGTTTGTTAAAATATAACGCAAAACAAAACTGCACTTAATATATTTTTAAAGGTATCTCAAGGTACAATTATAGCTATTCGAAAATAATTATGGTGAAGAAATGGATTTATAGGATTAATTTAAAAAGAGCAGGTAAACATTTGGGTTACTCTGAAATTGCCCGTGTTTGGCCATTTGCCTTCTCTGAGGGGTTTACCTTCTTTTTATAACTTGACCTTGCAATAACAAGTGTGAAATATGGCCTGTGTTTTTACAAAATCCATGCTTCAGAGATTTGCAAATTTACAATTTATTCAAAACAAGCATTTTGCAATCCTGCCATCAATATTTCACAAAAAGTGAAATTCAAAACGTTTTACATTTCCTGAAAACAAAAGACCACATTTCAGAGCAAGGTGTCAGTCTACCAGCACATCAGTGGCGTAGCCAGGGGGGTGAGGCTGGGGGGCACGTGCCCCGCCCCCCGACATACAACGGATGATGGATATAGAACATGGCTGACAAAAACTTGCTCCCAAAAAGCCACACAACTGAAAGCTGGTCCCCCCATTAAATGCTGGTGCCCCCTTTGTGCCCCCAACTTGTAAAATCCTTGCTACGCCACTGCAGCTCATCTAGGGTTTGTGGATAATAAAATACAAGGAGAGGACACTGAAAAATGTCAAAAGCCTGTTAGACTTACATAACGCCCAAGATTTTGAATCACGTTTCTTGGAAACTGTAAACGACAACGCAAGCACATATATATTTGTGTTTCACTGACTTATTTTGTACATGTGTAAAAGTAATGTTTATTAATAAAAAGATCCGGGCACACGCAGTTCCTTCTTTGTTAAGACTTGCGGACAGAATAAAAAAGAGCACAGTTTTGTAACCATAGATACGCTGGGAAGACGTCGATTCGTTAATTTGGACATTTTTTTCAATTGTTCAAGCTGTAGCCGGGAAAGGATCTCAGTGCCAAATGATGATGGTGAGATTAGTTTATTATCCAAATCAGGGTGATTATTAAGAAAATTATGATGGTCACCAGCATGACTAAGTGGTAAGCCAGTACAAGCAGTCAAATGGACGAGGTGACAACGTTGTTTTCAAATGCTCACTTTATCATGCTGTAGAGGGCTGTGGAAATTGCAACTACACAACCAAGTGCACACACGGCAAGCCCAGCTGCAAGGGGAATCGTTGCGTGGCCGACACCTGTGGTAATCGAGTCTGTTGAAAAAAGTGAAAGGAGAGTTTATTTTCAGTTTATATCAATACATACATAACGATGAAGTGTTTGAATTTCATGTAGTGAAACGTCAAATTATGGATTATATTATGGAACGGCTTCGCAAACATACTTTGTGAGCACTGAACAACAAAATACCCTACAGCAAGGTATAGTCTGGTATCAGCCCCGAATGTCTATTGCCTATTGAGGTGTTAACTGTGGACAGACCAAGTCTGTCAATGCTTTACGCATATCTATCGTAGATTCGATGATGTCTGGTCTGGTTATGCTGAGCTACCTGATGTAGAGATTACAGACGTTGCAGCTGTTGAACGAACTGATGACTCAGTGCTTATTGCACGATTTGTTGCAGTGGTTGGAATTGTCCCTGTTGATTGGCGTCTGGTCGTGGCTCCAGATTCTGTCGGACAAGAAACCGTTGTAGTTTCCTGATCTTTTGGGGTTGGACTTTTGGTCGTGACAGGTTCAGGTGTTTTCAAATTCTTTGTTGTAGTAGGTTCAGTTGTTGCGGCTGGTTCTTTCGGTGGTAGCCTAGGAGTTGTAGTGAAATGGGTTGTTGGTCCACCTGCTGTGGTTTGGAGATCTTTTATAGTGGAAGCTGCAGTTGAGATGCTATTTGAAGTTGTAGTGGGTTGTTTTTGTAAGGTTGTAGTTGGGCTTACTGAAGTCGTTGGCTGGAACGTCACGGTGGACTGAAACGTTGTAGATGTAGCAGTCGCAGAAGGCAACATTGTCGTTCTCGGTTGTGTTGTGGGCGGAGCTGTTGTTGGTGAGATGGTTGTGGGTGGATCTGTTGTAGTGGGTAGTGCTGTTATGGTAGGCTGTGTTGTGGGTGGGTCTGTTGTAGTAGGCGGTGCTGTTATGGTAGGCTGCGTTGTGGGTGGGTCTGTTGTGGTAGGCAGAGCTGTAGTGGTTCGTCCACAGGTATCCTTAAGTAAAGTGACTTTGTGAAGAATATCTGGAAACGACGGTGGTGGGTCGGTAAAGTTTGAACACTGGATACTATCAGTGTCATTGTTACAATACACTGCCTGACAGCGGCCATTTTTGTATCCAAACAGAATGGTGTTTTCACAGCATGACTCGCACAGAATCTGTGTAAATATTAAGAAAAGCAATATTTAATGAGCACGTGAAGTAAATGACCCAGCTAGAAAGATCATGAACGTCATGACATCAAAGAAAAAGAAAAAGTATATTTATGTCAAACTCTTCCAAATTCAAGCCGAACCGAGCTGTAAGATCATATCAGCATCTACCTTTGGCTCGCCTGTTGTCTCTTAATTAACAACTAAAATACATTTTGTTCAAACGTTTAGAAGACATCTGGTTACAGTAAATCTACGCAGGAGCGTTGTCAGTGGCTTATTTGCCCGTAGTAACATGCAAGTAGTTACTTGCATCAAAATTTGATTTAGGCTCAGTTACAAAATCGACGTTAAAGACATTAGTAAAATATTCGCCTGGTAGCACTTTGGGATAAACTTTGAAATGTTTTTGTCATCTATGTTGTGTTTTGTTTTGTGTTTATAGATTAGTTTAAAGTTAACTTGTCCTCATTTCACTTTCAAAATCTCGAGGCCTATGTATTCTTCTACGCCCCTGCCACTCTACGAGAGGGAAAACTGCTGAGCAGACATTCTCTGCTGTGCACAACTTATCGGTTTAATTAAAACTACTGGTCGTCCAACACTGACATGGAACCAACGGTATTACACAAACTCTCATTATTAGTCGGCAAACGTCCACTTTTATACATGTAGTTCATGTATGCACTCACCATAGAAATGGGTGTAGCGAGCCATACCACCACCAGGGTAAGATCAGTCATCGTCACTGTGATATCCAAGTTAAAATAGTACTGATTGGATTTCATCTTGTCGCTTATGAAGATGTCAAATTATCGAAACCTGAACGGTTGGTTGGATATATAGTATACCGTAGATAGGCCTACCGGTCCGTAAGAGAAAACGGCGCCGCATTTTCGGTGCATAGCTTCATACTCCATAGATGTTTTACTTCTTCCAAGAAGTATAATTCTGTGATGTGTTTAAATAGAGGGAAAATCCAACCACACAAGGATTATTGGGTTCAATGCACAAATACGCCTACATCTACGCCGTAAGCGGCACAACCTGGTATTTCCGCCTTGTCGACCTGCACACCATACATGCATGGATGTAGTTTGCAATTGGCCGTATGGAGACGCAATGCCCCTGAGCGTGCTTGGATTATGATGGTGTGCATGTTCGTTCAGCATTTGGAAGGGGGCAATGCCACAGAAAAACACAATACGTACCGTGAACCAAGGAAGGTGTCATGAGGTAAAACAACTTTCAGGGATCACTCTTCAGGGATCACTCTTATTTGATGATTTTTAACAATTCACCTCTGCCGTTAAAGGTTCCTTGTTAACATAAAAAGAATCTAAACCAGAGCTTAACGCACTGTTTCTATTAAATTTTCAGGTACTATAGCCACGTTCAGTTTAACGTCCGATCCCCTCTGGTGTAAATTTCCTATATAGGGCCTATTAGAGAAATTTCACAATGCTGCATTTCCATCAACAGAGTGACCCAATTTAAAATAAATTATGATGAAAACAGGCGCTAAATTGAATGTCTTGAACATATACTGGTATAATTTTATTTCATCATTCGTGTCATTATTTAACATATTCTGCACCTGGGTCCCACTCAGGGATGTATTACCTTAAAGCATGCGCATCGGTGAACGGGCCTTTGGGAATCTGATATTTTGAATAACATATTGCAACTTTACTACACAGAATAAATCATATATTTTATACAAAATATAGCATATATTTAAGATTAAAGAACACTGAAATACCCACTCTAAGTTTCTACAACCATTAACCAGAAGTCAAAACCAGTGTGTGGTGTACAAATGTCTAAAATGACAGCATTTTATGTAAATTTGATAAAAAGTAAGTATTCAGACAGACAATATAGCGTGCCTCCCGTCAGTCATCCTGTTGAAGTTATTTGTCAAAAACTTATCTTTGTTTAACCCCTCCATGAATCAATTTCGTAAGGAAAGGTGAGCTTTTGTTTCCATGCACTGTTATAATGGGGCTGTGAACAAAAACCAACACCCATGCATCAATATGTCTTGTGGTAGCCTGCATCGAGGGCCCAAGTTTGACAAGCAACCATTTGTTAACAAGTAGGCTGTTCTCAGCGATTACATTTTGTCAACTCGTGCTCTATATCAAGTTGCACTGAAGTTTGTGGTCAATCGAAAGGAAACTTGTCTGATCATAGATAGAGAGTTGATGGAAGCTTTCAAGTCAGGTAAATATGAATTCACGCTGACATGAATTCCTGTGTTGATACATTGTTACTTCTAGAGAGAGGAAACTGATCTGGTTTACTGATTAGGAGATTAATATATCCATAAAATATTTCAAAACAAGATTAATTCAAGGAGAACTGCCATAAAACTATTTAGCTCAGCCCAATTCGACGAGGTGCAATTATTGTAGCAACGCCACACTATGGTGGACGGCACTAACACTAACGTATTAGGGCGTCCGTAATGTCCACAAATTTTGGTGATGATTGTGCCCTATTTGTTGAAGACGTGTTAGAATGGTTCCCGTCCCGTACGTAGTCAATAGACGTCATACAGTAATATGACCGGGGACCAGTCCAGAAGAAGTATTTAATACGCGTGTACCAATAGGCGTGATGTCAGCCTCATTCTCACGGGTACGATCTTGCCGCACCACGTTGGTTCCCATAATGCGTAAAGGAACGCACACGAAGCCCACAAAGTCACTGTTAACCATGCACCGGATTAGTCTCTAAAACGTCTCCAGTATTCAAGAGTCGATCACTTACATATTTTTGTTCACTTCCCCGCCTTTCCGTGAACGATTCAACGCAAAATTAGCTTACACACGCTGATTGGACCATGGATGAGGGGCGAAAGAGTTTGAACTGCCGGGCTGTAACATCTGGCCAATTACCGCTTTCTGGCATGCCCGGTATGTCCATAGCCAGAGCGCAGCGAGTGCTTGCTACGCCACCACCTGCTTCACAAACATAAGCCCCCTTTGTACCTCATGGTCGTCGCCAAAACTCGGAGTATTGAAGTATAGGAAATTGAATATTCATGTCATCGTTGGTGCCTCGTAAGATCTGACACCATCAAATTTAATGCTTGTGCAGTTGCTTGTATTAGGCTGTGTTCCCGAAGTGCAGTCATTGCCCTTATCAAACGCTTTCTTCTGGACTTATTTCGGGAATAAATAGCCAAGTTGTTTATAAGACTTTATATTTTATTTGAATCGTTTTGAATACGGAGTATATACAAAAAGGTATTTTATAAGATCTCGTGATCACTCCTTGTGATAAAATAGCACATTTTGTTCGTTATTAACTTAACTGTTCTGCGGTCAACGTGCTGTTGGCCAGTCTTAGCAAAATTCGTACAAGACTTTAGAAACTGATGTTTTTGAGAGACAAAATAGAATTACAAACAATGCATTATGAATTAATTTTTAAACCCACGTCAGGCGAAATTATCCGGCCTCCATAGCAAATTCTGGCCAGGTCCGTTGCCCCGTTGAAAATCCAGAGGAAGTCTTGTAAAGTTCTGGATGTTAGGACACAAAACAAAAGAGTGAGTTGCCTGCGGCTCGATTCTTTTGTACAGAAAAACAACAAACAGTATTTTGATTGGGATTTTTTTAAAACTAAACTTCCTTGGTAACCTAAAGTTTGTTTGAAAGCTCTCCCCTTTCTACATTCTACTGTAAGATGTCGCTTCGGTTCTAAATCAGCTGGCACCAAATTTTGCTTAGTCAAGAGATCGAACGCTTACCTGCGATGTCTCGTTGGGTGAAATTGGTGCAGGGGGCGAAGCGCTGTTGGAATAAAAACAGTTGGTGAAGAAATAAACTGGTTAATAAATTAACTGCGTAAAAATGAACGAACCAAACCCGCTCATCTCATGACACTGCTGATGGCATTCAATTACAAACGATTCTGGATGTTGTGCGAGCCATGTACCCATACCCATCCCCAAAACAACAAAAACAAAGATAGAGACTTTTTATGAATAACGTGAGAGAAGGATGGTTTTTAAAACTCTTCCCCTTCAGACATAGGCCGACCGGAAATGTTACACGAAATCCCCACTTGAATGTATCGGCCCCTTGCCGAAACAGTGGCCCCTGCCAACATGGAAAAAAATAGGCCTATACTTACAATTTTGACACCAAAAACATTGCTCCAAGTCCCGTATATATCATCGCAAACACGACAACAGCTACCACTGCAAGACCAATTCCTGCTTTTTCCTCGGCTGAAAGAGGACGGAGGGAATGATGGGAAGACAATTGAGGCTTTCACTTAAGTCACTGCTTGCAAAAACGTTCAATGCTTCGCCAGATAACAGGTGTAATTTTACTAATTCCACAACCCCACGAAGAATATACCGGTTCACTAATAAATTATAATTTATGTGCGCATAAATGGCAAGTGGAAGCAACAACTTTGAGCGGCCCATTGAAAATGTACAGGGGCACAAATTCCAACGTCATTTTCTCTCTTCTTCTGCACCATTTTTCACGTTTGTCTTCGGAAAAAGTTCAGATTTTGTGCTCCTGTAAACTTTCAATGGGCCGTCCGGGCTCGTTGCCTCCATTAAGCATTTAGGCGCAAGCGCACATATATTAGAATTTATTGGTGAACTGGTCTATTAACCATACCCGTCCATCCCTCCCATCTTTTAGGTATAATGGACTTTTCGAATTCCTCAACGAAACTGTGCCCACTTATTGACAAGAGCTTGCTGACACTTCCGATGACCTTTTTTGTTCGAATTGGACCAACCGTAGTATTTGATTTATAAAGATGACGCAACCGACCAGACCAAAGTGGTAAAACATTTCTTGAATAAACCATAATCAAAAAAAAAAAAGATTCATTGGAACTTACGAGTTAGCTCATTGACTGTATCATTTGGAATGCTTGTTGATGTTGGCGATGAGGAAACCATAATTGCAGTGCTGGACGGAGCTGGAACAAGCGGCGTTGTAACAGTTTCGGTTCTGGATGTAAGCGTTGTGGGTTCTCCTGCTGTGAGTCCAGGAGTCGTTGTAGTATTTGGTGTTATTATTAGATTTGGGCTTGTCGTGGGTCCTGATGTTGCTGTGGGTTTTAGTGTTGTTGTAGGTTTTGGTGATGTTGCGGACTTTGGTGTTGTAGGTTGGATTGTTGTTGGAACAGAGGTAGTTGTGGATCGCATTGTCGTTTTTGGTTCTCGTGTTGTTGTGGGTTGTAGTGTTGTAAGAAAGTGTGTCGTCGTTTGTACACGTGTTGCTGATTCTAAGGTTGTCGTTGGATTCGGGGCTGTTATAGATTCTGGTGTTGTTGTGGATCCTGGTGTTGTTGTGAGTCCTGGTGATGTTGTGGGTTCTGGTGTTGTTGTTGGTTCTGGTGTTGTCGTGGGTTCTGGTGTTGTCGTTAGCTCTGGTGTTGTTGTGGGTTCCGGTGTTGTTGTAGCTTCCTGTGTTGCCGTGGGTTCTGGTGTTGTTGTGAGTTCCGGTGCTGTCCTAGCTTCCTGTGTTGCCGTGGGTTCTGGTGTTGTTGTGGGTTCCGGTGCTGTCGTTGGCTCTGGTGTTGTTGTGGGTTCCGGTGTTGTTGTGGTTTCCTGTGTTGCCGTGGGTTCTGGTGTTGTTGTGGGTTCTGGTGTTGTCGTGGGTTCTGGTGTTGTTGTTGGTTCTGGTGTTGTCGTGGTTCCGGTGCTGTCGTTGGCTCTGGTGTTGTTGTGGGTTCCCGTGTTGCTGTGGTTTCCTGTGTTGCCGTGGGTTCTGGTGTTGTTGTGGGTTCTGGTGTTGTCGTGGGTCCTGGTGTTGTCGTTGGCTCTGGTGTTGTGGTTTCCTGTGTTGCCGTGGGTTCTGGTGTTGTTGTTGGCTCTGGTATTGTCGTAAGTTCCGGTGCTGTCGTTGGCTCTGGTGTTGTTGTGGGTTCCGGTGTTGTTGTGGGTTCCGGTGTTGTTGTGGTTTCCTGTGTTGCCGTGGGTTCTGGTGTTGTTGTGGGTTCTGGTGTTGTCGTAGGTTCTGGTGTTGTTGTGGTTTCCTGTGTTGCCGTGGGTTCTGGTGTTGTTGTGGGCTCCACTGTGATAGTCATGCTTTCACAAGAACTTAAGATACTAGGTAATGTAACCGTGAAACTGGGGGGATTTCGGATTTGGGTACAGTTTGTGTCGTAGAAGGTTCCATTACAGTATACTGTTCCACAGTCAGAGTTATCGTCCCGCGTGCATCCGAACAATACAATATCTGCAGCAATACTTGCAATCTGCAAAACAAAATGTAAAACTGCCTAAATTCGTGTGGAATTTCATAGTTCAATGCCGACTGACTGTGTTAATAACGTTGCCATTTTATTGCGGTGTAGGGCCTTAATAGGAACAAGCAGTCAAGTTCGCCAGAAGACAACTTAAGACAACTCATAACAAAGTCTTATAAAGAAAGCCAACTTCAGTATTTTTAGCCGGCTAAATCTGAACAAATCACAGACCATGCCAATTGCCAGGATCAGGATTCACTTTTCAAGTTACAGCAATATCAACCAATCTCAAAGCTAGATTCAAAAATAGCAATCATCTTTTTGATTTCCGGGTAATCTCTTTAAAAAGTCCCCTTTCTTGTGAAGCCACAGTAAAAAGGACAAATCTACCCCCTTGGATGCGTTTTGTTTGGGTTTTTGTTTGCTTGCTTTTTGATGTTGGCGTCCCCGTTGTCTTGACGTCGTGTCGTCTTTCCTGCGCGTTTACAACCCTCTTGAGGGAGTTTGCGCAGTACGTACGAAGCAGAAGCAGAAGTAAGTATTACTTTCACAAACCGTGATTACAACAAAAAAATTTTAAGGTTGCAGATGTCAACAATTTAAACTCCAAAAATAAACTTACACAGAAAGATGCGAATAGAGTTAGAAACCATACTCCACTGGGCGTAAATCTCCGCGTGTGTGTGCAGGTAGTCACCATGACAGGCAGTCGGCCGATTGACTGATCCGGATCCGCGAAGTACTGGTTTGATTGCCGGTCCGCTCTGGCTGTTTAGGACGTCTATCCTAATGTTAGTCCACAAAACTGATATAAGCTTTTTCCCTGCTATGTTGCGTCCTTATCGGCATAATTTGATAGTCTTACAGACGCTACGAAGCTTCCTTTGAAATCCACCGTAAGTGCAGGCGGAATCTATGTGGTTTGTCGAAGGTGCGGGTGCTGGTCACGAAACATTTAACCACTTTTATGTGATAACTGCGTTTCTTTGAAATGAAGTCACTCGACCATGACAGTGACACTTTCCTGTTCACAAGTGTAAACTGGGCACGACTTCGACAGCCTAACGAGAGTTTGCATGGGACAGTTACGAAGGTCATGTGAAGTTGGCTGTGTGGAAACATTCCCTGTGGATAAAGCTGTAGGAAAATTCTTCACACGCTACAGGGCACTTTTTTTGTAGGCACCAGTCGATGTCAATCTTTTTATAGTGTATTACATGTCCTTAGAGTACAAGAATCAACTCATATGGCTGTGTATTTGCAGCTTTCAAATTTGTGTTATACCAAAGGAAAAAGACACTTGCCCATCTCCATACGTACGTGCAGTATTTTCAGTAGATGAATTTTAGGTTAACAATGTGAATGGATCACCTATGCACTGAATTATGTCTCCCCTGGATGACATCACTGGAATAGCGCCCCTCGTTGTCCAGGAAAACATGGCTAAGTTTGGAAGTTTTACATTTTTTTCATACATATAAACTAACTACATGGGATGTAAAATAATTTTGGTACACTGAAGAAATGTATGAAGCCTGCAGAAAAAAGTGAGCAAAATGTATTGTTGCTACCCTAAATCACTTCCGGGGGCGTGCACTCCCAAGCACCCCGGCCCCCGCTTCACTGATTGATATTAGCATGGAGGTAAACATAAGAATTTACATTATTAATTTATGTTGATCAGTGGCGGTTTTCCAATGTTTTGCTTTTCACACCCTGGCTTTGGAGTTGCTAGTTTCCGTAATAAGTCAGATCGTGCACTGGAACATGAAACGACATGCAACACTGAAGGCCTGCATTCGGGGATCAATTTTAGAGACAACCTGATGAGACGGAGACGAAGCCGTCAAAGATGAGTGCCTAAGAAAGCCGCCTTGTCTTGTTGGTGACAGATTACCCCTCGATACTACGGTTGACCGTATGGTTTGTAGCTCTGCGGGTTGACAGACTGTTAACGTACCACTGGAGTCCCAATCTACCAACCTTTTCATTTGTTTGTATATTGGGAGTTTTGTTTGTTGGTTGCTTTTTGAAATAAATGTGTAGAGCAGTCGGGTTATTAGACTTTAGAACAGAAAGGTAATTCAATACATGACAAAAGAAGTATTTTTTACTCTCGGTATCAACAAAATCAAGCGCGGAAAAATTTTCTGGGTGTGCCTGTAGTCTTTGAAAAAGTCGCCATATGTGAAATGCATGACCTTGCACATTAGTGTGTATTGCGAAAGCAAGAAAAATGACTCAGCAACAATGAGTTAAAGCTGCGTTGAAGTCTGTTTTAACGCCCTCAGTAGGATGAAATAATATCGCTGTCCGTTTAGATAATCCTTGGAAAGTCGTTCCTGGCCATACTGTGCAGCAGTAATGTATGAAAATCAAGGAAACTTACCGAGAAGGGACAATGCAACGAAGACGTAAATTTTATCTGTCCTCAGGAAAACGACGAGGCCGAAAGCATCACTGACCTCATTTCATCGGTTTCTAACTGAATACAAACTCTGGAGCGAATGCCTTGCCACAATCCACAGCAGTAGGCAAGGGTTGCTAAATGAACCATTTCAAGAGATAGACCGCATAGATAGGTTAGACAAGCCTTTAAATGGCGATCATCTTTATTTCTTTAATGTGAACAGGAGGATAAAAATGCATTTTCTGCCCGTTCACGCATGAATGCACTCTCCAACAAGAGAATGGTGACTGGTGAAAACAGGGGGTTTCCCCCTCGCTGACGTTCTTTGTTAAATAGGCCTTTTACGTGTAAATTGAACCATTGTGTACTTCCCTGCTGTGGGGTGACCATAATCACGGGCGTCACGAGAATTTATTTCTAGGAGGGGAAGACCTTATTTCCAGGGGGGGGGTTCCATTTTGAGGGGGATCAAAGCAGCATTCATCAGCAAGGTACTGATAAACCATTAACAGTGACTGCGGGTCCTTCTGAGGTTTGTTGTTGCAAATTGCTGACTGCATGTCAACCCTTTCAACTCTTCCCCCCCCCCCCGCTTTTTAACAGTTTTCATTTTCCCGGGGGGTGCGAGATCGGTATGAAAAACGCGTTTAATGTAAATACCTTTCACTCGAAATCTCTCACTTGTCGACAGTCATATAACTGCCAACTGGAACAAGCTCAGCATATCTCATTCTGACTTAGGAGGGAATTCGTACGATCTCTGAGGTTCAAGTTCATGTAAGAAGGCCTACGTGTATGGGGGAAAGGGTTTCTGGTGCGGGACTTCCAACGATGGTAATGCTGCAGTATCCAATCTGACGGTTGTCGCAAGATTGCAAAAGGAAAAGAGTAAGAATTCTGATTCCAGTACAACAGCAGAAATTTTGTTCGTACGTATAAACATTGCTTGCTAAGCACATGATTTCAGATTACCCCATATATCACATGTACTGACAATTTTAAACAGACCATTCCCCCCCCCCCCGAAAATGGTACAATCGTTATTGGAACAGACAAAACCCAGACAACTGGCCAACGCGTTCAGCTTCCGCATAGTAAGCAGGCAGGTATGACCAACAATCGATACGGACAAAAGAAAGCACGAAGACCACCAAAAAAAAAGAAGAACTTGAACGATGGGAACTTCCCAAACGCAACCCCCAAATGCAGGGAATGTTTGACCTGCGCGCACACTGAACTCTGGACTCTCAAATGTCGCTAAAACAGCATGCGCTTGAAAAAGAGAAAACAAAAGTCCGTCTTTCCCTCCTTCCTCCATGCTACTAGTCTACGTTTACCGTCTACACCTCTCCAGGGAGATAGGCCTGGTGTCTCCAAACACAGAGGCCAAGCAGTCGTATGGTGTGTAAGCAAAATACGGGCGATTTTCACTGTCATTATTTCATTGCAAAAAAAAGGAAGCATCGCTCTTGGAACAAGCAATGTTCCACCAGGTATGAAATATGTGAATTTATATTCTGCTAAGTCAACTTTTTTTAATAAGCACTTCCAAACTCAGTTTGGCAAACTTGCCTGACACTTTTCAAATAAATAAATAACAACCAAGCTACTAGTTTAAAATTTTGAAGCGGGTGAAAAGCTGTAAGGAAATGACTTTTCTTCTTTGGCGGCTCTTGAAACAAACTCCATAACTTTATTTTCAATCAGCAAACAGTAATTAAATAATTTATGTACAGTAACACTGACGTCAGACCGACCAAAGCTCTTTTCACATAAATTCACTTGCAGATCATCACAACCATTTACAGTTCTCCACCAAAAACAATGTTCCTGAAGTTTTGCTGACAAAGAAGTGAAGATTTGGACAAAACAATTATGTTTTGGTTTACTGATGGAATAAAATATCATATGCTGCCGCAAATAGGTAAGTGTTATGTGTTTTGTTTCCATACAGATACAAATTAATTCAACTTCATACATCAGTTGAGAAATACCTTAAAGTGAGAACAGAGAATTTTCACACTTTGTAAAGTGGTTTGTTACGATATGAATTGCAAAACTATCACAAGAGAAATTCATGTTTGTAACAATAATCCTGAACACACGTTTTAAGTATAGTATTGTCTCAACCTTATTCCAAATTCAGGGTGGTGTAGTAATGTTAAACAGGCTTGGTGACCTTTGGAAGATAAGAACAGAATAAAATGATGCAAGATTTACAGATGTTCTCAATAAAAACTGTTTTCCATTCCTCAACTTGTTTCAGTCTTCCAATGGGGAAATATCTATTGACCATTCGAATGGAATGCATTCCAAGGCACTGAAAAATGTTCTTTCACGTCTTGTTTTTCTTTTACTTTAAAATTTTTTTTTCAGTTCCAAGACTTGATGAAAATTAACGATTCAAAAATGTTCGATCAATCCAATAGTGTACACCATCAATTCAACAAATGATATATTATTAATGTAGAAAGTCATTTTGGATGGTTTTGTTCGAAAAATTAGGAAAAATACAAATGTGACCTGTCATGACAAACTGAGAGTAAAGTCGCATCCTGCACTTTACTATTTTGAGGGTTCAAAGTCATATTGAAGTGGAGGAAAATTTGGGGTTTTGCAATATTTAGACAGAGTAACCCATCGCCTGGTTAATTCCAAATATTTTGAAGGAGTTTCACAGCAATTTTGATGTCAGCAGTGTTTGTGCCTGGTCAGAAATGTTGAAACAATGTTGGAAATAGAGATGCCAATCGGCCATAATTATGTCACATTGTCACTTAATACTTTTACGCTCAGCATTCTATGTATGTACAATTAGAAAGCTCTCTTTCTGCTGACTTCAAAACACCAGTATCTCAATTTCTGAAAATTCTGACTTTCAGCTCATTTTGTGGTGCCAGGTCACAAGTACATGATTTCTAAAAATTTGACAAACCTTTGAATAAGGAAAATCTTACTAATATTTACACACACTACTTTCTTGTGTCCATACAAACATATCAACAACCTTATGCAATAGCAAACTCCAATTGAATGAATGGCAATTTTATTAGTATGGAAAGTTATTTTGGACGGAATTTATTTCTACGACTGAAAAATCCTGAAATAAGAAAAATCTCACATGTATTTACATGTTGCATTCTTGTGTCCATACAAAGATATCAACTGCCTCATGCTATTGCAAATTGATAATAGACTTAAAAATATAATTATCTACAGTGTAGATGATGCTACAAATATAAAAAAGAGGGGTTTTTTGGCCTGGGGGTGTGGCTCAGAGGAAATTGGAGGCGGGGCTAGAATGGGTGGAGCCTCACAGGAAATGGGAGCGAAAGTTTAACTAGAGGAGGGTAAAAGCCAAGTGTGTTTGGTTAAGTCAAGTCTTACCACCATACTCCCAACTTACAAGCCCACAACGTACAAGCTGTTTGTCATTTCCAAAGGATGTGGGTGGGTGGAGGAATGACATAGGAGGAGGGTCTAGAATTGGGGGTTGCCAAAGCCCACCTGCTCCTGGGTCTTGTGGATCTCTTTGAGGAGATCCTCATTCTTAAGGCCAACCTTGAGGGCATACTTGTAGGCTTGCTCCGCCTCCAGCTGACGGTCCGTGTGGAGACAGACCAGGGATAGGTAGCCCCATACCTCAGGGTCACTGTTGTTGAGAATGTTGGCTTCACACAGGGCATCTTCTGCCTCTGATAACTCCCCAAGCTGATGAAAAAAGAGGGGGCAAACCAACAGGCCTGAATGTACAACTGTATAATAAAGCCCACCCTACCCAGGACTCACACAATTTGACTGACATTCATGAAGGGCTAAGATTGATCAATGAGCATTCATCAACCACTGGTCGATTCTACCTGGTACCCTTTGCACAAAATTTATCCTGGGTACCAGGAGAACGTAACAACTGATTGGCTAATGGGTGTTCATGAAACTTTTTCAAGGCTTTTGATATTCATGTCGTATGATCTCACAAAACCTGTTGCACTGCCAACAACTCAGATTCTTTTGTAGGACTCGGTAAGACAGAAAGTACTGCCATGTGTGGTTCCATTCCAAGCTAAGATGTGAGATTTTGAACTGTATGAGTTGAAGCTGTTGCTGAGGAACCAGTGCCATCTAATTGACTAATTAACACTTTCATGCACAGCAACTTTTGTTGTATTTATAATCATTTCATGTATAGTTTTCAGGTCAAATCCTGATCCTGTACATACTGAGACTGAAGCAACGGTTGTTATAACCCAAGTAGGTTTTTAGTAACACTGTGATCATAATTTCAGGTCTGACGGTGAAACAGATTCAATCTGTACTCACCCTGTAGCAGGCAATGCCAACACCAAGCCAGGAGATACAAGATGGAGAATGCTTGCAGGCTAACAGGAAAACATTCTTGGCTTTCTCAAACTGTTAACATTAAAACCAATGTGAAAGGTTATAGTAAAAACTAGTTATCTCAACAAAAAGTTGGGCACTTTTAACTTAAACCAAGACTCGGGCCTCAGGGTATTAAAGACAACCACTCACCTCTCCATCCTGGAGGCATATGGATGCCAGACGGAGGTAAATAGCGTGCATCTCTCTGGCGTCGGCAACAAATGCCAATGTTCTCTCGTAACAGTCCTTGGCGTCAGCCATGCTGCCTTGGAGATAGCGCAGATGACCCATGATAGACCATGCATTAGCATCCTGACAGGAAAAACATACTTTCTATGAACAAATGTAAAGACCAAATCTTTTCGTTGTCAGGCAATCAACCTTGATCGCCTTTGACTAATACCTAATTTGTTTTGCATAAACACAGGAAGTCCAAGAAATATGTGGTGGACTGTGTGATGAACTTGGGTCGGCCACTTTGCTCGACGAACCTGTAGTTGAAGCAAATATGGTTTAATGGGCATACCTTCAAGTGTTGAAAAATAAAGTTAAATTTACAAATATCACATGAATGTGATTCAAATGACTCTGAAGCTTGAGGCATTTGGCCGTTTGTCCAAAGTTGGCTGCTATACCTTGTCTTTTCCAAAAGTCGATTTTTTTTCAGCCGAAATAAAATCATCTGCAGGTGATTGAACATTAATGATCACACTCTCAACCACTACAGGGCCTGGTGGGTGTATTTACCTGATAGTTGAGCAGCAAGGCTTGGTTCAGGCTGTCCTGGGCTTCCTCAAACTCCTTCCTTTGAAGTTTGAATCTGGCCAAGGCGACAAAGTAAGCCACACTGGGGCCACCCCTTGGGTCCAAGAGCTCATGGGCTAGGGTACGTTCGCAGAACTACAGATGAGGAATACAAGAAGAAAGATGAGAATCAACCATTCATGAATTAATACTGATGAGCGATCACATGACTCAAATTTGCTGGGCATTTATTTGCCATCTTCAGTGGTTATTCTTATTCCTCCATGGATTATAAAAAATAGCTCTTTTGGTTTTCTTTGTTTCTAGATTTTAGAACACAAAATTCAAGCTTGTCACAAATATCCATAATGCTACATAATTTTTACTTTCAAAGGCTTCAATGCCTTTCTTATGGTGAGCAAACTCTAATGGCAAAACCGTGGCCAGGATGTAGGGACAGACTGTTTCACATTTGCAAGGATGCTAAATATATTTCGGCTTTTTTGATACCTTTCTCTTTTCAAGTATTTTTGATTCTTATAACTGATTTCAGCCATGGAAATATAATTTTCGGGGGGAGTGTAGACAGAGAAGGATATAAAAGAGATGTTCTACCTGTAAGGCTTTGACTTCCAAGAGAAACTCAGCGGCAATCATGAAGATGCTGGACTCGGGAACGGGGACGGGAGGTTCCTTGTGTTGTTCTTCCTGCTCAGCTGACCCTGGACGACTGCCCACCTTGCTACCTAGAACGTTACTGGTAGCGCTGCGAACTCGCTGGTTCTCTAAGCTGAGAGCTGTAGAAGGTTTGAATCAACAGAGGTTGTACATCTTCACACTGTGGTGGCCGTGAGACTTGAGAAAGGTCTTGACTGGGTTTGAGAGTTGATCCCAGTTGCTTCAGAGAAATTTTGGTTTTCAAATTTGCCCAGCAGTCCAAAAAGGTCCATTATCTGACAGCTGCCGAATACAGAATGGTGCTAAGCACAGAAAAATGTGATTAGCAAAACTGGTCACTGACCAAAACTGTTTGTGGCCCATACTGCTTCTGTGCAAAAATTAAAGGTTGTTTTGTTTAAAATATCATACAATTTTAACAACCTGGCCCAGTGTCATGAAGTACTGAAGCAAACAACAGTACTGAAAACACTTATGTGCTCAGAAAAACTAAGCCAGGATCTATTCAATATTAAAGGCGATACACTGTACATATATACGTTTGGTTGGGTACCTGCTTTGGTTCAGACAACACATGAAATTGGCACTCCTTCAGGCTTTTTAAATTTTGTGGGGAGAGCAGAAGATATACCTGTGCACTGTGTTTCAATCCACTCACCTCTATCAACTGTTGTTTGGATTAAGAACATGTACACAGTCTTGTATTAAAGGTTATTTCAAGTCTAATTGTGTGGATTAGAATGGATTAAAGTTGGACAGAATGGCAGCGATGAGCATAGTTGATCTTAACCCTCAAAGAGCCGGGGGGGGCAGAATCTGCCGCCCTATTGATTTTTTGCTTATAGCATCTCCGGGGTTAATTTCTGCGTGTTAATACTTTATGACAATTTTTTCCAATGCATTAGCCTCAATTTGACTTCAAATTTATGAAAATTGGACATGGCGTTCTGTCTCAGTGAAGAATTTTAGGAGGCAGAGTGAAGTATAATGTGAAATTTATCATTGACTTTGTACGCAGAAGTACATTGTACAAATGGCAGTGGTTTCCTTTTGTCAGGAAGTCTCTTGCTTTAGGAAAGGTCTATTAATTGTGTAATTAATCTATGCATATTACTGTATACAGCTCATCGCATCTCTGGTTTCGTTTCCACTGAACATACAATCCATACAGCACCTTTGATGTGAAAAATGTAATAAATTACCCGACAATTGACAGAAGATAAAAAATTGGTATCATGAATAATTAATGAGTCATAATTATGCAAAAACCAAATTAATCTACATAGAATTTCACACATATAATTAGTATGTATGCTTCTATAACACTGCCAAATTTCATTGGAACACATCATCGTATAGCCGAAATCTGGGGGGCAGAATCCCCCCCAAGAAGTGACAAGGCCAAAAAACCTGGCTCTTTGAGGGTTAAGGCAAATGACAATGATGAGAAATCATTATTAGACTTCTTAAAGGTTGATGCAATTATTAAATAAATTGTTATAGGACTGGCAAGCTATGCAATACTCCACAAAGACTATTCAGAATACAAATAATCTGCCCCGAGCTGAAGCGCACCCCCAATCGGCCAAAAAAAAGACAGGTGGTTACAAGTGGGTTCTTGCCCGCGTTCTGCAAACACGCATATGCTTGCGCGCCTCATGGCGGGTCTATGCGTTGAGTACCAAAAAACATGCCCTCTTTTGTTCCGCTTGGAGCGGATACCTCACACACTGATTGGTTTGTGTCACATGGCAACAGAAATTCACACAAAATGTTATCAACCAGTAACATTTAAACAAATGTGTCACAAAATATTGTTTCTTTGGGGTGTAATCCCTGGCCATATTATGGTGCTTTGGACTATGTGGCTATTAGCATCCGAACAAAGATATTGACAAATGGGAAGATAGAGCCACCAACATAGGGCTGGATAGCTCAGTTGGTAGAGCACCGGTACGGTATTCCAGAGATGGCAGGTGCAAATCCTAACCCAGTCAATAGTTTTGTTCACATCTTTGTTCATCTTTATAATTAAAGAATTATAATATCAATATGATATTTAGAACAGAAACAGAGAGGAAAAAATCTCTTGTGATGGGTTACAAATTGCCGGTGAATTCACACTGCATTCATACATGTACCTTTCAGTGAAGTCTCGGTGCCTGTAGACAGTGCAAGGGCATGTGATAAAGGGGGTAAAATTTTATCATCTAATCAAGTTGTTACTTGAATGGGAATTATAACACTTGGTGTTTAATCAAGAAAGAACAATGTATGTGCTAACAAACACTACACCTTGAGGCCGGGAAAAATACCAGTTTTAATGCTTGCTCTCTGCAGATTTCAACACGTTCCACATCTGTGCTGGTACTAGAAAATCATGTAATTAAGTCTCATATCACGATGCTTTAGGAAAATTTCCAAATCTCAAAGCCAATTCGGTTTGACTGTGCAAGTGATACATTTTTTGGGGGGTGCCACACTGGTGTTGTTTGTGTTGCTGTGTCTGCTTGTGGGTGCATGCGGTCACAAACTGGTTTACCTCTTGTCAACTCAATGGATGGGACATCATCTTGTACATGATGACAGTAAATACAAGAATGATACACGGACTGTCTGTTATTTGTCACTGAAGTTACTAAAAGGAATGAATTCCCTTGCAATGCAGAGTGCTCAAGAGAATACCAATGTCCAAAACAGAAATAATTGTACCTAGAAAAAATGTGGGATTGTTATGGCATTGTGTGACATGTACCAGTAAACTGGCCAATTATAAAATGCTCGAGAACCCAAAAAACTCAATTTTGGTCAGAACAGTGTAACTGTTCCGTCAACATGTTAGTGCTTTACTGCTAAGGAATAGAGAGCCAAGTAGGTACAGAAATAACATTGAAGCACTACACACATTACATACAATGAACAGACTCATTGGTTCAGTATAAAAGGTTTGTAAAGCTCCGCTCCAAGAATTGCGACAAAATGTTTGTGGCATGGGATTACGAGCACTGAATGAGTTGCTTTTTATACTAGGCCTATTTGTTCATGAATAGCTCCAGATCAAAGGGCAAATAAATAACATCATGGCGTAAAAGAAATAATTTAGCTACAACTTTGTGGCTATTTTCTATTTACATGGGACAACGGACACTCGTACACTATCAAGTTTATTTTGTTATTGCTGGAAACTTTGGAACAATAAATATGAATAAAGGTATCTTGTTAAGCTGACGCAGTTGATGTAAGTGGCTTTCAAGAAGTCCAGAGGCTTCTGGATGTGGAGAGGTCTTATTGTCAATCTGGTCAAGCCAACATGAGACAGATTGAAAGCTACAAGCACTTGAACAAATATGGAAATATGAATTTAAAAAGATGAATTTACTATCAAATCTAAAAAATAAAGCAATTAACTGAAAACAAGTGAATAAACAATCACAACTACTGCTCTTGCAATCCTCTAAACACATACAAAACCAACCAAGAAATGAACAGCCAATCAATCCAACAGTAAACAAAATGTAAACAATCAAACAGTAAACAAAATGTATAAAATGTAAACAAGCACACAAACACCGTGGAAATATTTGTATAACAAAATAAACACTTCACTGAACCCAAAAGTTACTCAAACCAACAGCCTAAGAAAATGAAATGACTTTGCATACACTCTGAAGTTATGGTACCAAAAAGCTTCCCTAAACATGCCCTTTCAGAGCTACAAAGTTGTTTATGATGACAAAAAGCCCGAATTTTCAATAATACATGCAACAAAAAGATCACCATGTCCCATGTATTGTTAGTGGTTTTGTTATTTGCATGTGTTGTTAGTGGCTTTGCCGTTTGCATGCATCAAAGTGTTTTCTCAATGTTGATGTGCCCCTCATAAATTATTAGGCTCTAGTTTAAGAGTTGGGCTCAGGTCAACACCATGGGAAAAGTACAAAATGCTATTGTCCGCCTGGTCCCGTACACGTACTATGGTGAATTAAAAAACTTCAAAATATGCACTCAGTCAAGGAAGCAAAAATGACAGTGGAGTTTTCTTGATTTTCAGCTGGCAAAAGCAGCAAGCTGTATAAAGAATGAACTTAGTAAATTATTTCTGGGCTGGGTGTTGAAATGTGAGCGGTGGGAAAATGTGAAAGTTGATTCTCAATGACTGAACTTTACAGTGATTATTCAGCAAAATGGACCCTTCTAAGAAAAATTATAAATAAGGAGGGCAAACATTTTTGCCCACTGGATTGGTAATTACCATAATCAGCCCATTACTAACGTTACCAGAAAGAAAATATCAATGTCTGTCTTATTTCAGTAAAATTACTCTTAGGGGATTATGCCAGTCTCTAAGCACCTAAGAATGCCAACAGCAAGTTGGGTGTACATTTTGGTCTCAAACAGCATCAGATTCAACCCCCAAAAACCATTTTTAGGAAAAATGATTTGGCTTGTACAGCATGACCTTTGACCTCTCGGTGTAATAGAATTTTCAGCTTTTATCCACAGAAAACTGCTACAGTCAGCATTGTTTTGCCACTACAGTGAATAACAGGCACACCTGACTCACCAGATTTGGAAGATATTGACATGCGCTTTTTGGGGCCTGGGGGTTTGTCCTTTGATTGTGGGCGGAGCGGTATCTTAGCATCAGTGGGTGTGGCGGAGGTCTTGGTGAACTGAGGCACCGAAGGACACTTCTCACTCTCGGCTGTTTGTGAGGCAGTGGGGGGGGGGTAAGAGCAGATTGAACAGGGAGGGATAGGAGCAGCAAGTGGGAGGAGCAAAGGATGGGCGGAGCAAGGATTGGGCAGAGCAATAAGTGGAGGGGGAAAATGTGGGTGGGGCAAGAATGGGTGGGTCGTGCAAAGTGGAAAGAGCGTCGGTGAGTGGAACAAAGGGCAGATGGAACCAGGGTTGGGTAGGGCGAGAGATGGGTGGCAGTAAAGGTGGTTTGCAGAGCATGGGATGAGTAAAGCAACAGTTGAGGCAAGGAATGGAATAAAGCAAGCAAAAACAGCAATGTCTGTTGTTATAAGCAATGGCTTATCTTAGTTGCAATAACTACCAAGGTATCGACATGAGCAAATAGCATGATACACAGCATTGCCATAACCAGCACCCTGCTACCAGCTGAGTACAATATCTTTAATCAATATCTTCATGTTAACAGCTGGATTAATCTCTCAACCAATGTCAGGCTGGTTGGAAGAGGGTTAATATATACACAGCAAAACATCTAATGCTGAAAGAAACTGCATCCAGACTATTAACTTGGTACATGGTGAAAATCCAACACCACAAATGATGGTATCTTTTCTCTCCATAAACCACAAGCTTCAGGCTCTGGGAAATTGTCGGCTCTACCCTAAACAATTATTATTGGTCACTGCTCAACTTTTGAGCAGTGATGTAGTCGAGTACTTTTTGACAACCAAGTTCTCTATCAAATATTTAACTAGTTAGGAGGGAATAAAGCTGAAGTACATCGGCATTTGATGGAACATGCATAAAGGTAAGATTACAAAGCAACATAATGACTTCAGACCATCACTGTTTAATTAGAATTAACTTTTTAGGACAAAAGTACTCGGAAAGTACTCGGCTGAGTACTTTCCGAGTACTTTTCTCCTTAAAACTTAAATTTTACACAACTGGTAGTGTCTGAAGTCTAACATTTATTTTGTAATCTTACCTTTGCACATTTACCATCAAATGCCTGTGCACTCTGGCTTTATTCCCTCTTACCCAGTTCAGTATTTTGCGGAGAACGTTGGTACTCGGAAAGTACTCGACTACAACACTGCTTTTGAGTCTCCAAAGTGATAACCATGGGCAACTTTTAGTCTCATTCTGCTTCAGAAGTCTTGAGGCTGACATTTAAATTTGCAGACTTTTCCACACCTGCTTTTCTAAGATCCCGTCACATGGATGGCATGTCAATATTAATAATAAAATTAGTTGATTCTTGTATAGTGCCAAATCGGTCAAAGGTTGACACTCAAGGCACTTCACAGACATATAATCAAAACTAATGAAAAAGAACCAGGAAGAGATGTTCTTTCATATTCGGGCATTTCTGGCAAAATTCTATTGAAAATATGACCCCCAAAATCTTTTCACTTCTGTGTTATCAAAACTTCAAATTAGCATAATACTGCCAAAGAGATTCTATTTTCAAACTTTAAACCATATAAGGAAATGTAAAGAGCTCTATTTAAGAACATGTAACCCCCATTTTCAACCAGCTTTCAAGACGAATCATGTTTGCCACAAAATTTCATATGTGCCTCTGTGACTGTAAGCAAATCATACCTCCTACCTTTCTCACTGGCTGGCTCCTCCCCCATCTTAGTATCTCCGCCTCCAGCGGCCTGCTCGGTGGCTTGTTGCTGTTTCATCTTGGCCACGGCGTTGGCCAGGTTGATCTTCTGGGCTTGCATGAAGGCGTACTCAGCCTGGATATCTTGGTTGATGCCATCATAGAAAAGCCCTGACGATGCCAACGCATGACAACCGCTCTTGCTATATCACGCCTTAAATTCCGTATTGTTACTGGTCTGGTACAGTCACGTGTCCAGTTTATAAATATAACTGTTTACCGCCTCGCTCATGAATTATACCACAAATCAGACTGCCTACTGTGACAGTACAGAGGATTCAACCCTGACAGAGCAGCAGGTCTACGTAGTTCTTTCCCAATCGTCCTTACAATATTCTTCCTTTATGTCTGGCCTTTATAGTTCCATAGAGTCATGTCTTATGAACGTATGACACTACATTTGACACATTTTAGATGTACCCTTTGCGATAAATGCCAATGTTTTTTATGAAGACTTCTTGAGAATGAACAGTTTTCACGGACAATATGTATGCCAGAGTGCTGAGTTCTTGGTATTTGTGGACCTAATTAAAAATGATTTCCCTGAATAAGTTGAGACTTTATGCAGAGCACAGACATATTTATCAACATACCAAGTTTTGATCAAGTCTGTCATTACGTTGCCAAGATTGGAAAAAGCCCCCTCCAAGTAATGAAAGGGAAAGAAAGCTTCTTCAGGGGTTGAATGTGAAGACAAAAACAATTCAAGCATACCCAGCATAGTCCACGCCAGTACACTGTCTTGATCCACACAAGTTGCTGTTTCAAAGAAGGTCTCAGCGACATCGTTTCTCTCCTCAGTGGAGCAGACCACTCCATACAGGAGCAGACCATGAAGGTGTTGAGAGTTGATGGATACTGTCTCCTTGAAGCACTCTTCAGCCTAGAGGGGAAGGAAATTGGAATTCAGATCATTAGTTGTGCCTTATTCGCCCTAAATAGAGACACCCTCTCACCAACAAAGACAGGTCAGTGAGAGTTATTTCATCGGGGTGTCCCCTGGTGCAAACATGAATGCCAAACTTCAATGAAAATTGGACAAAGCTCGGCGCATCATGCGACACAGAGCACACCTTGGTGCAGTGAGTTCCCAGCAAAGGACCACTCCTGCATGGGTCGGATGAGCTGGTTTTTAATTTTGGAAAATGAGGGCCTATTTTCAATGAGCCATGAAGAGAAAAACTGCTTAGCAGTGTTATGCACTTTATTGGCCAAGATCAGCAGGGATCCGCCCACAGGCAACATACACCTCATAGCATTTTGGTTGGTATCCTGTTTTGTTAGGCAGAAATTCTGTAAGCTATAGAGTGAACTTTCAAAGGGGCAATATTGGGTAGACTATTGTTTATCAACCACATAACTGGGGATCATCTTGTATGTGACTTTTATTTCACAATGTTGATGTTTTTCAACACACATGGTGTGCGGAAAGTGGAAACAGGTCAAAAGCAATGGACACCTTGATGGCAAACACTGATGCTGTGTTTGAATACAGCCATGTGTGCCAAGATGGCCACACTATCCTACATGCTCACAAAGGATTGAGACAGGGTATGCTTTATTGGCCTGAGGAGCAGGGGTAAAATGGCATGGCACCCTGACTACTACATTTAGAAGATACGTGCACATTATTCAAACACATGTATCAGTCAGAAGCAATCGGCTCTCTCTGTTTTTAGTCAGTACTTATGCACAAAGCATAAATGCAGAAATGTTACCTGCATTGGCAATATTTAACTAAGAATGTTTACCTTAGAGACATCATTGATGAGAAGGCAGAAGGTACCATAGTCAAACCAATGATCTGCATCATTCCGATTTCTGGCCAGCCGCTGTAAAAATTATGACAAGACAACAGAAAAACCAATGAAATTTCAAATCCTACAGTCATTCTAGTTTCAAATAAGACCCAATGTTTATGTAAGTTTAGTGGGAATTTCAATGCCATATGACAAGCCATTATAACTTGTTAAAAGTTGCACAATATGGGATAGCCTGCACCACTTGCTGATGGGTTCAATCAAAATGGGCGTGCACAAATATAAGCCTCTTTCATGATTTTCCGTTTTCAAAATTCTGAAAAATTCATTACTTCATTTACTGGACGTTTACACCCACACAAATGACTGTCTGGTGGCTATTCTAATCCAAGAGGCAACATCTATTGACACCCGTGTATTTCAGCCAGGCCTGCTGCCTTGTACAGAGACCCCAAACTGTGCGGTGTTGCGTAATTTTCTTTTGTTCTCTTAACTAGAGCAGTTCACTGCTGGTGTTTTTTTCAATGAGGCCAGATTAGCATGCAGCAGTATTGTCTTTCTGAGCACTGCAGCGCTGGAGAGCTTTCGTCCATGGTTGTAATCCTTCATATTGAATGCCAGAAATGGTGGTATAGTGTTCAAAAAAAGAACGGATTACCTCCGCTACTGACAACAGAAAAAATGTTCTTCAAGTTCCATTAGCTCGGTCTTTTGTTCAGAGTGCGGTCTTTTGTTAAAAGACCTGGCTCCTTTGTCTAATTTCCGACTCCCCGGCTATGCGTGCAAACATAAGGTACCCGATACCGGGTCCCCCAGCGTGAAGTGGTTAAGTACACAACAGACATCACTGGCAACTGGAAGGCGTGGGCATTACATTGGGGGTTCACTAGTACTTGGATTCCCAGGGTCACAGGCTAGCATCTTGATCATTTACTGTTTTGCATCTCCTGTGGCTTATTTCATGAAAACCAAAACGAAATCTTGAAGAGTTAAAAACTGAATTTCAGAGAAGTTTGAAGACACAAATACAAGTGACTAACTCCAAAAGAGAAGCTTAGCTCTGAGAAAAAACAACATCAACTCAACATATTGGTCACTGTCTTTAGACCACGAACTGCCGAGCATTGTTCCTGATTCATACCAGTGGCATCAATTTTATTTTTTTCCCCCTGATGTCACAATGTTAGTACCCACCTCCTGGTAGTACTTAGCTGCCAGCTCAAAGTCCTCATTCACTTCTGCCTCTCGGGCAAAGTGCTTGAGCTGGGCACAGTCTGTGAGTGGGGCAGGCACTGGTGTCTCGTCTTCAAGGGATAGGACCTTGCCTAGCCCACAATGCATCTGGTCTACCAGGAAGATGTACAGGTCACTCAGAAAGGCCTAATCAACAAGGGAATTGTCATGAAAAAGTGAAAGCTCTTAAAGATTAAACTGTTTAGTCAAAATATTTGTCAGAATTATTTTTCCTTTTTAACAGAAATATCTGCTGTACTGATATTTTCGACCTCATTTCGAGATTTAACTTTGGAAAACATGTTATCGTTTTGGAAAATAGGAATCCCTCAATGTAAAGTAAGGTAGCAACCATGAGGTTTCAAAAAGGTCATTACTGCAGCATACTATGAAAAACAGTCAGCAAAGACTACTCGTTTGAATAAGGAGTCAGCAAGCTTTACCTTCTGTTTGACATGCTTCATTTAAGTTGAAATTTACTGGAACCACGGACCACGGAATACTGACACCAAACAATATAACATGCCATTAAATACATATATTCCTACTGTCTTACCTGGAGTTCCTCTTTGTTGTCAAAGGCACTGGTTTTCAGGTATTTCTCACGAACTATCTTCACCACAGAGTGCTGGAAAGAAAATGGGCAAATGTTCACCCTTTTAATCACCTGAGGACCAGGCAAATGTACATGTAGGTACAGTTGAATTATGGACAAAACAGCTTGAAAAAAGTCTTGAGTATTGTCTCCTGTATTGCTTAGTAACTAGAGGGAATCAAGGTCATGCCTGGGTGATCCCCACTAGGAACAAAACAGAGACAGCGTGGATCACTCTTGGCTAACATCTTGTTTTTAAAAAGCAATACATTGATCTCTAGTTTCAACAGAATTCAGAATGCAGCAAATAAGTGGGCCCATCAAAACAAATAGCTTGTAAAAATGTGAACAAAGAATGCGTGGACCAGTGACACGTCTTTCCAACTGGGTGCTGTTACTGGGTGATACAGCGCCCTCTTGTGTCCATTTATAGTCCATTACACCTTCCTGGCTCAGCCAAGTGTGGTGGTTATCAGTCCTTAAGAAAGGGCAGATTCCATGCTACCATTGACAGTACACAGTTCACCAATTCGTGTTAAATGTTGACAGCAGTGGCTTTATCTAAACTTTGAGTCTAGAGCCAAGTGTAGGTCTTCACAGGTGGCAAATACCTGCATACGTGCTGATAACAGACATAGCTTTTGACTGCCAATGGGGGTTCCTCTGACTAGCATTTCTGCATGTACCCACCTTGAGCTGCTCCTTGTAGGCAAAGTACTTCCCTGATGAGTTGAGCTCATACAACAGTTTCCGCCTCCTGTCTTCTTGTTCATCTCTGGAGGATGGCAGCTCTCCATTTTCCAGCTTGCCCGCGAACATACCTCTGCAAATGCAATTAATGAAAATCCCAAGTGGCATATCCAGCATAGGGGAGGGGCAAGAGGTTATCCCTCCCCTAACGGTGACATGTTGGCATTTGGTATGCAAACAATGAAAGTGTCAGCATTTTAGAAACAGTACTTCCACCTTTGTTGGGGGCGGGGGACAAGGATTTCTTTACAGATTCAAATAAAAATGGAGTTTTCCATCAAAAATACCATCTTGTCTCCTCCTTAAACACACATACAAAAACCTGTGCTGACTCTGCCTTACTCATGAAAAAGCTGGTGCGCTTGTACTCTGGTGACAAATTCCATTTACCAGATTTCACATTCAACACCCTATTTGTTCTTCTATGTGTGTTACACATAGATATTCATCAATATAAACAAACAAACTTAATAAGAAATGGGTCACTGCGCACTGGCATAAACTTGTTCGTGACCATGGATAAATTTCTTGTGTGTTACATCTTAATGCCAAACTCACATGGGTGAAACTGACAAATTATCTATTTCATGTGGAAAAATACTCCATTCCAAGACCTTGGAGACATCAGATTTTAAAACAAGATGGCAATCTCTTTCCTTTGGGCCAACATAGATATGAGTAATTCCAAAAATTAGGGGTCTAATTTTTTTCGTGTCCCCGTCACATCTGACATATAATTTTAGAAGTTCAGAACACATTTTCTAATTTACTAAAGTGGCGAATTAATGCAAATTACCTGCCAAACAAATAGTAATAGTTTAAAGTCAATTCTGGTGATATTTTCATGTCAAATAACAAAGGTCAGATGTAACGGGGACACAAAAATGCCACACTTTTGGACCCTAATTTCTGGAATCACCCATATGCAGATCAGATCTAAGAACAAACAATGTATTTAGATGACCACAAATTTACCAGACTAATGTCTAGCCCTGAGCAAGAATTGTGGTGATCATTTAACTTGCAAGTAAACTTTCACTCCAATGTAAATGCTGCTTTTATGTCCGCAACAGAAAAATGCAACAAATTCACAACCACAAACAATTACCGGAATTCTTCGAGGACCATAGTGCCAATGCTTGCCACCTGCTTGTGGAAGTCTTCGACGGCTCGCTGAGCACCGTTGGTCCTCCGCGGGAAGAGAGGCCTGGGTGGAATGTACTCAGCCACTCTGATTGGTCAATGCAAAATAACATGAATATGCATTAGATCAAAGTCTCCCCACCCAAGAGTTGCTAATGTCTGTACTGCCCGACAGCAAATAAGCATAGGTTCTTTTAAGTTTTGCTGCCCAGTGTAAAATACATGCAGTTGATACTCAAATTACAGCAATGCAACAAACCTTGGTAACGTGTTACCAAACAGCCAATTAGATGAGATTAATGGATAAAAAGTAACAATGAAGATATCTGTACGATATATCCGTTAGTGTATGTATCCATTATTCCTCCTTACTGGGTCAATAAAAAAACCTAAAAACCATCTCGGCTCCCTGGGGAGTATACGGTCCGTTAGTGTGATGTCACTTCAGTTTAAACCACGCCCACTGCACATGCACTGCACACAGAGTTACATGCATTGATCGCCGTTTACATGGAACCATGGAACCGGTAGTTAACGCGCAACTTCAGCGATCGTCCAATGGGAGCCTACAAATCACGGCGCGTCGGCGTGTATGACAAAGTCACTTATGAACCGGAGACAGCTCAGTGTAGCCATTCAGGTGCAAATGGCTGATCAAATACAGCAACCATCTCTACCCTAAACACTCCTGGACTTCTGGGAGGAGAGAGGCAAGTGGGAATATTAAAAAGGGACTTGCCAGTGGACTCGACATATGCCATACTACTGGATTCGAACCCCGACCCTTTATCAGGAGTTACAAACCCCCACCACTGGGCTATACATACCTAGATCATCAACGAGCATGTATTAGAAGACAGTAAATCACATGACGGTTGGTCAACGTTTAGGTCAACGTTCCTAATTGAACTTGCTGTAAGGATTAGAGAAGGAATCAGACTTATGAGAGAAGGAATGTACTTTACCTTTTGGCCAGTTCCTCTGGCGCCCTCTTGGGAACCATAGATCGTTGCAAGGTGAACTCCAGGATGACGTAAGTCCTAGCCTCGTCGTACTGCATACCTTCCAGGTTCTGCTGGGGAGGGGCTTCTACCTCGGACATGGCATCGGGGGCTTGTTGGCCTGGCTTCAACATCTGAGAAGGCTGGGGTGACAAGAACGATGGGGACTTTTAGAGATGATGTAATTATGAAGGCAGCGTGTAAGGTTGTAAAATTGCCGATTGAACACCCTTTTTACAGGGTTGCTTCTGCGAGTACAATTTATCAGCCTGTTTAACATGCACAATAATGGTGGCATACATGTGTATCCTATGAAATGGTCGTGCCAACTATTTGTTGTATTGGCAACCTACATTCCCTGGAAACCTTATCGTTTATACATACGTCTGCAGCAGAAAAAAGAATCTTTTAAACCGGGACAGCCCTTCAGTTGTTGAAGAACTTCTGCATTCCTTCCCACATCAACCTACAATTTTTTTTGTGATATCTAACAGGTTGGTGTATCTTTACATTATTAATTTTATTCTTAAAGTTTATTTAATTCAGGTGCTGCATGCCACTTGCCAGAAGCTTGTTTTCCGGCAGCGTCTAATGTGGTTTCTCTAATTTTACACTCCTGATTCTGCAAGTATTTGTATGGGTCTGAAAGTCAGGGGCAAGTTTGGGGGAAAATGAAATACCCATAAAATAATCACCGGAGGTTTTGAGGGTTCACAGTATCAAAGGGTCTATGGTATACATTTGTTTTTGACTAAAGGAACCCCTACAAAACAATTTCTTGCGCTCTTTGTCAACTTTTACATAAAAACCTTAATGATAGACTCAGACTTTTTGATATTAAGCCCTCCCAAAAATAGTTGGTCTCTGGTCAGCGCGAGCGTCGATTTTGAACATGCGAGTTAATTTTTTTCTCCATTTTTTTCTAAGAATTTTCCAAACAGCACCCTCTATTTCCACATCGCCTGAATGTGCATGAGTAGACTGATTCCTGGCCACAAGTCCACAAGTCAGAAGGGCATTAAGTTCAAGTAACCAGACTAATTCGTGGGTAGCTCGTACCCGGTGATAGATGCATTACGACTGCGTAATGTTAATGTCGAACACAAACAGTAGACCATGGGTAGGTAACAAAGTTGCAGCCAGCTGATCAGCAACAATGGCGGCATGACGAGCACTTTGATTAAATATGCCACACATTTCCCTGTCCACTGCCAGTCTTAAAAAGCCAACTCCATCTTCCCCTAAAAAACCAACCTGCATCACCGCATCAATTCTGGAACTTTGGTCTGACCAGAGATCAAGATTTTTGGGGGCCTAAAAAAGATGTTTGAGAAATCCAGAAATCTCAGCCTTGAAAAGTATGTAAAGCAATGAAACAATCTGTATCAAATCTGAAACACATCTCACGTGACATTCTTCCAACTTACAGGATTGGTTTAACTGTCTTGATTATCCCAATTAACATCGATTCCTCTCACCTTCTTACTGGTATCTTTCTCTTTTTCCTTCTCTTTGCCTCCTTTCTCCTCCTTGCCTGCCTTGGAAGTCTTGATGGACGGTGATGCGTTCCTGTACATGGAGGTTGCCATCCGCGCCGCCTCATCCGCAAGTCCACCCTTCCTCTTGGTCTAAAAATGAAGCAGGCATTTCTGATCAACGTCTGAAGGAAGTTCAGAATTGGTATGACTTATCAAGGTGAAGAGTGGCTGTACACTCAAAGGGGGTATACCAAGTTCTTGCAAAATGCAAGACCAATCTTGTTCCGAGTGGGAACAAGGGGGGGCATGTTTCTGTAGGGCAGCATTTTGATCGCTTGACGTGAGACATGCTGAGCGAGTACTGACAATTTCTGTTCGTTTGGTAGGTTTTCAATTTGAAGAAAAATGATATACAGCTACAAATAAATGAAACAAGTTGTTGGAATTTCAGAATTTTAAAAATCATATCATATTGAGTTTTGAAAATGCTGCCCTGCAGAAACATGCCCCCACTTATTCCCACTCAGAGCAGATTGGTCTTGCATTTTGCAATAACTTGGTATACCCCTTTTGAGCATACAGCCACTCTTCATCTTGATAAGTCATGCCAATTCTGAACTGGTTGACTGGTACTTCTGCTGAAATAGGAGACTTCAATATGGTGAAATCAATAATGTAAGTTTCAAGAGGCCCTAAATTCATCACTTTAAAATACTGACAATCAACTTCTACAAGCATAAACATACCTTCTCCATCATTTCTGTCTCACAATAAGCATGTACCCTGAAGGCACCTCGAATCTTGTTCACTGTGGTGAAAAACAAAAATAAGGGAAAGTCCTGAAATGAAAATGTGAAACCAGTCCATTCTTTTGAAAGATGACGTTAAAGTTGTCACCAAACCTGAAATGGATTGCTTCAATAGTCTCAATACTGAAACAGACAGACCCTGACTTGCCAACCATTTGTGTTTGTTTTTAATGGGCAAAACTTGAAAAAAATGATGTCCGCTCAAGGAGGAAAGGGAACTGTCATTTGCTCTCTGAAACCAGTTTTGAGTCACCCAAGTCCTGCGTCTAAGTCTTCATCCCAAGTGCCACGTAAAAGTAGCAACTCTCTTTTGCAAATAAACAACTGACTGAATTATTCAATAAAACGGCGGTATGACGACAACAATAAATATTTGGCATTTCACACTTAAGTCTGTGTGGAACACCACGATTCTGATATCAACTCCAAATCCCCCTGACCAACTCTGCCTCACTGTTCATGACTGACGTAAGAGTCCGAGTCACTCAAAGTGACACTTGGGTCATCAGGCATGAGTCACTGCCCAGGTCAAGAGCCGTTTGAGTCTTCTAATAAAAACTACAAGTCACTGTCACCAAGAAGGCCATTGCACCACAGTATCTTCTCCGTCGAACAAGCCTTGTTTCAACAAAAAACTGTTGGAATGTTTTAAATCCCTGACTACAAGTTTCTATAACCCCGATGGCTTTGATCACAGCCGTCTAACTTACCTCCTGGATAAAGCAATGGTGCCAGGTTGACATAAGCAACACCATGGAAAAAGATAGGATTCTCCTCTTCCTGAATTAAATAAAAAACAACCGAAGTTTCATTAACATATGGGTGTACCTATCTTCAATTAATGGTGCATACCACTGTGGCATGTTACGGCCATGTCCGTTTACATATTAGGCACTTCCAATCTTTTCTGGTAGTTTTAAAAATTGAACTTACATTAATCTAAGCTTTCACAAAATAGGGCTTTTGAATTTTTTGCTTCACACTGTGGGGGATTTTTTTGGTCTTAAGCTAACCAGTATTTACATTTATTCTGATCATAGGGATAGGCTTGCACCTCCAATCCTTTGTTGAAACTGTGTCACTGTTAAAGTATAAGAATATTAAACTGTCTTTCCCTGGAAATGCACACAAGTTTCAATATCGAGGCACACCAAAACACACAGATAATTCTCTTCCCATGGCTCATGTGGCAGTCAAGAAATCCAGTGACAGAATCCTATCGTCCAAGTTTGTGAGAGTCAGGACACTTAAGATTGTGATACCTTTCCTTTGGCTTTAGCTGCTGTTGGCATAGGCATTCTCATCAGCTCAACTGGCCACAGTCGGGTGTGAGCGATCTTTGTCTGCAAACTGTTAAAAAGTCCCAAACAAAACCCTAATTGTTTAATTTCTTGTTGATTGCAGTGACAAGCGTACTCATTTCAAACAAGAACGGCAGAACATTTATTGATGCTAGATGATTTAATATATCATTTGGCAAAGATATGCATAATCTAAAAAGGAACAGGCAATGAAACTAAAGAAAATTAATGAAGTCCTACCTTTCTTAACACGACAAATCTAAAGTGTAGCTTTTTCCCTTCATTTTTACGGTCATTTTCGCAGCAAACTACTGCTTAAATTTAACATTTCAGTGCATCACAGGATTTTTTAAATCATGGAATACATTTTAAAAATGCAGTTATAATGAAAACATTTTTTTTGTCGGTGGGGTGTTGAGAGAAATACTGAAGCATAAAATGTGACAAGATTCCAAACAATCCTGAATGCTTTTGAACAACTGTATTATAAGTTGAGATTTTTTCCTCATTAACCCTAACCCTCCTCAATTCTTCACCTGTTGGAGGACTGAGGAGTGTTAGGGTTAAGCATGCTCCTTTAAAGTAGAGAAACAAGGGATATACCTCTGAACGGCGGACGGTTCCATGTAACAACGGCGCTCACAATTCCAAATGACGCGGTTCTTCTCTGTCTCGGCTTCAACCCGAAACTCACGGTCCTTATTATAACACAACAGCAAATGACATTCAGTAAACACAAATTGGGTTGTGAAGGGCAGAGGGGAAAGGTGGTCACAGCACGCACACACAAGTTTGAATTTGGAATCTGGAATTCTCACAGGAAAAGGAGCTCCTCCGTGGTCAAGAACCGCATAATCAGAATATATCACACAAATTCAGTATCTATGCTTCATGGTTAAGCCCTGCGTGACTGGTAAACAATAGGTGAGATCAACTTTTAACTGAATGAGTACGAAAACCACGGCATATAAGAGCCCACCTTTGCATAAGCACTGAAACTGCCTGATAGACCGAGTTATTTTTCAGCTTTTTTTACCCTACTGTGCAGGCGGTTTAATGCATACTAAGAAAAGAATTTGTGTTCCTGTGAACTCTGGCGATGACAAGGGTACATGCACAGAGAGAAGCAATCTTGTAACCTAGAGCATTAAACACAAAATCTTGGAGATATTGTGAGCAGTTAAGGGTGTGAGTCCAGTCCAGCGGATTGTGTGGTCTCAGGCCAGACACCATGTCAAAGATTTACTTTTCCTCATAAAAATAGTTGGATTAATAATAGTTACCTCTTTGCAAGCCAGTTCTCCATCTTCTTCGTCGTAGCTCACAGCTTGAACAAATCTGCAACAGAGGTAGAGAAATAAAACAAATACCATTATCCACACGGAGTTAATTGCCTAACAGGGTAGGACACTGCAAGGTGCTTTATTAAAGGCAATAAAACAGTTCAATTGATGTACATGTATTTCACAGTTTTGATGCCGCTTTCCTGATTTTTTTAAAAATAAAATGCTCCAAAAAAAGTAATTTTTAGTTTGCCAAAATAACTGCCATACTTTGTCCATTCAATGTAACTCTTAAATACAATATAACTACCAAACATTACGACTAAGGATTGGCTAGAGGAGTTGGAGGTCCAATCATTTGCCGCAAAGAAGAGCAAGAAAAAAAATAAGTAGAACAAAACTATTGGAGGTGATTTCAAACATTTTTGTTAAGGTGATGTGCCTCAGTGTCTTTGGGGACTTTGAGGATTTGCTTCCAAATTTCTGGGAGCCTTACTTGTCTGGTATGAAGATGGCGCCACCTTGAGCCCCAGCTGGGGCAGGCCACTTCTTCTGCTTGGACGGAGGCTCCTTGTCATTTGCAGCTTTCAAAATGCCATTCGATAACACCACTGTTGATTCTCTCTATGGATTAGAGAGGTAGAACAAATAAGCGCTCTAGACAATCCAGCCTCTCCCCATTCTTGCCTCTAAAAACTCAGGTTGGTCATAAATATGCATGATTTAAACATTTGAGACACATGTACACGTACGGAAAACATTGTATTTTACTGAGATGAAATGCCTGCTCATCTCTATTTTGATGTGTCAAGAACTAACTCTCCCATTCTGTGGGTTCCACATGGCAAGCTTAGAACAGTACTGAAGTTGAGACCTCTTCAGACTATCACGCGACTCCATAGGACCATTAGAAAACCAACACAAGGCCACGATTAAACCCTACAAAACCATCACAAGACCTCAAGTCTGAATTTAAGTCATAACATATTCCATTGAACTGCAACACGAGCGTTCCTTGGACACTGTTCACCCTGGGTTACTTGCAACATCTTGTGACTGGTCTCATCGTTTTATTTTTTCGATGGGCTGAACTAGAACACTGGACAAACATACATATCAGCACCAAAAAAAGAGAGAAACATGATGCCCAGCGACAAAAGGTGAAAAAAAAATAGAGCGAAGCTAGGCACCTTGAACAAACAGTGGTTCTTTAAGGGCTTGTATACCATAAAAAAAAAAGCGACAGGGAACACTGTCTGTAAAGAGGAATGCCAGCTTGTTCTTCTTGCGACAGATAAACTGATAATTTCACACGTACCTCATTGGTCAGGGGTACAGGCAATGTGATGTTATACATATACTGAGTGCCAGTTGGGTTCCAAGTCTCTGGTACAGAGTACGCTGCTTCCACGGTTATTGTCAGTAAGTTACTCTCCTTCAGTTGGTCCTCGGACAACAAGGCTTCGGTGACGGACACTACAATATCTATCTCAGGCTAAGGGAAGGAGAACAATATTTTTCCCTTGAAATGCCACAGAGTAGGAGAAGAGGCCATGGGTATAATAGGGATTTTCTAGGAACTTGATCTACAGCAAACAACAATTAAAATGTCCCTCCCTTCAGAAGTGAAGATTGACACAAGAATATGTACCTCAAAGCTCCTTCAGAGTAAAAGGTTTATGTTACTTTTACACAATATGATAAGCATCTTGAAAGTGGGTCACGGAACAATATGCATCACAGTACACACATCAGGCAGTTGAATCCAAGGTTAAACAGTAATGACATGTTTGACATGCACGTTTGCGTATGTTTCAGTTATTTCTTAGTTGGTATACTAGGGGTTTATTTGTCCAGTGGTTGTAACTTTGTGATGCTACAATTTTTGGATAATTGCTAACTTTCACTCCAGAATGTATTGCACCTCAAAGTTGTTTGATCATAATGTATTCACTTTCCATACAATATGTGACCCACTCTGTGAAAATGAGTCTTAAATTGCCAGAGCCACTTTTTGAGTTTTCATTTGTATTGGAAAGAGAAAATTGATTTTTTGTTTTGATGTATCACTCAGTTTGGCATCCTGATGAAAGTGGATACTCCATGGAGAAAAATGCTGTGGGTTCCTACTGATTTACACTATGCAAAATTATTCTAAAGGACTTTTTACTCCTAAGTGGCTCTGGCGACTTAAGACTCATTTTCACAGAGCGGGTCACATTTATGCTTGAATATGCAGTGTGATAAAATACACCAAGCTACAATGTTGAAGGCATGTAAAGGCATCTCAGGAAAGGCCAAGTATCAATATCTGCCTATGGAGCACAGCCAGAGATAAGAAGTGTTGATTTCTGTGTAGGGAGGAAAATTGGAAAACCTACAGATAAAAACCCTTGTGGCACAGCACAGAATCAATGAACACCTCTAGTCACATATGGCCTGGGCTGGGAATCGAACCCAGGACCACAGTGTGAGAGGCAAGCATTGGCCACAGATGCCATGCGATGCAATGCAGCATAGAGTCAACCACTCCAGTACTTGAACATGTATGTCTATATGTGGCATAGTTGAGTCTATCACAAGTCCATCATGAGTCATACCTCATCTCGAGTTAAGTCACAAGATATACAAATATTCCTTTATCACTGTTCATCCTGTTACTTTGGACCGAACTTGACTACAGCAGTGCTATTGGTAGCTTCCTGACAACTCCACAGATTTGTTGAGGGCTTGTCCATACCTTGGGGCTATCAGCAGGGATACTTTCCAGTGGAGACCCCGGCAATGGATGGATTATAAGGGTGCTCTTATATTTGGTCTCTCCATGGACCAAGGGGAGTAGGTCCACGGTACATTGCCCTAGCAGGACTGTCTTCTCCTCCTTCTGCTTCTTTTCTTTAGGGAGGACTTCCACAACCGTCACTAGATTAATCAAAGGCATGAAAAGAAACAACAAACCTATATGCCTCCTTAAACTGAGCACAGATTTTACTTACTATCAAACTGGGACATAACAGGTACAGATCTGTAACCTCTTCAAGGTTCACCTTGGCCATTTTGGATTTTCTGCCAGTTTTCTAAATCAATCTAAAAATACCAAACTTTGGTTGGATGTGATGGAAATTAAGAAGGATTGATTGAATGGAGAATGATCTCAACCTTTAGCTTAGATAGAAGGATGAAACATTTCAGATTAGAGTATATTGAATTTATCACCAACCACTACTTCTGAATTCTGGAATGGAGTCGACGAAAATCTCTGAATCTTTGTAGATCTTCAAGTGGGATTCAATTTGAATACTTTCAGCTTGTACAGTTGCACTCACATCTATGCTCAGACACTTTTTAATAAAAAGAGACCGAGTGATAGATCAGATGATAAAGGCTGCAGGGAAATAAAATCAGCTCACCTAGAACTGGCTTGAATGCAATCTCATCCAGGACTATGGGGTCGTCAAAGCCGCAGTCAAACTTAGCGTTGAAGTTGTACTCGGCGGCGATCTCACTGGTGGAGTCTACTTTGGCCGACTCACCCAGGGTGTTGCTGCCGTATTCCACCTTGACCAAGGAGCTCAGGCCATCCCCTTTGCTACCTCTCTGTGGAATGGAAAGGAAAATAATCATAACAGTGAAACAAAACAGTATTGAAATGACTGCACTGTTTACTAGAGTAATTTGCATTTACAATTGTTGAAAAGAAAGAGAAAGTTCCGTCACCTTGAAGACAGATTTGGAGTTCGGTTTTGACAGATCTTTGTCATTTCTAGAAGAAGCAGTTTAATAATGAATCATTTCAGTATTTCAACAGAGCATGCTCAGTACAAGGCTATTCAGGAACAGCTACACGTGCATGCGACAGTCTGTCCTATCAGTGCAGCCATATTCTGACTCTCGCGCGCGCTTTGCTACCGAAAGACCTTGGCTTTTTGAAATACCGAATTAGCTCATGAGGAGTTTAACCTTGACAGTAAGTCTTTCACTTTATCCTGCCTAATTTGTACAATATACTGGGCCTTAAGGTGTTGATCTACTTTGTGAATTGATTTCCAAGACATATCCCATTCCAGAATGTGGACAGCAAAGTTATATGGTCAAGAAACATTTTACCATCTTTTTCTTTTTTTAGGAAGGAAGTTCAGGATATCATCTGTGATTTCTTTTGCTCAAAAGATGTGAATACCTTTCCCATTAAGAAAGCTGAAACTTGTAAATTTGCCAACTCTATGTAGGTATTTTCTTATATTTACAAGGTTTCACATTAAAGTTGAATTTCAAGTTCAGTGGGGGTAAATGAAAGAGGATGATTTCTAAAGTAATAATAATCATAAAGAACATTTCTATTGTGCAGATACTATATAAATATACTCAACTGCGAATAACAATACCCATCACAAGCAGAGATGAAAATCAGGTGTTGGAAAAAGCTTCATGAAAGAGATGAGTTTTTAGAACAATCTTGAATGTGTCAACAGATTTAGCAGTGTAATGACACTGTAGTGTAATGACAAAAGCCTTGAGGGCATGTCTGTAATAAATTCCATGCTATGACAGTAGGCCCTACATCGTTCAAGCCGTCCACTCTCAAACGTCCATGCTGGGGGACGCAGACGTTCCAAGTTTCACAGTAAACTGGGAAGTCTTGTACATGTATGGGATGTATGTCTGGTTGCTGCTGAATTGTAATCACACAATGGGATGAATGCATGGGGACTCTAAAGTATGAAAGCATTTCTTTACCTTCTTTACAAGATTGATTGTGTACAGCCACAACTTTTATCTGAATGTGCACAAGTTTTTAAGAGTATCTGCATGCTTTGTGCATGGAAAATGGCAGCAACACGGCTCAAGCATAACTTCCGTAAGTCTTCGTCTTCATCTTCATTCCCACAAAGGGGAAACTTGTGCATTGCATCTATTAGACAGACAGCACTTTATATCCTTGGAACTTACAAGGTGTCTAGCACGTAGTACTGTGATGTTAACAGGCTCGGGAGCCCTGTGTCTCTGGAGCTCCTCATCGGCCATGGTTGCCTGTGTCAATCAAAGACCTGAGAAACAGAAAAAGCATTTTTTTGAGGCTTTTTAACATTAGGGGACGCTAAATGTTGAATACACGGCACATTCTGCTTATTAGTTGTTGTTCATATGAGTTGGGCGTGATTGATTGATCTGTACAATTACTTAATCTTTGCACGATCTGTTGATTTATGCTTATGGCATCATTACCCAATAATTATGCCATCAGCCAATCTCCTTTTCTTTCTGATGCTTGGCTAAAAAATAATGTTTTGCCTTGGGGAATTGAAGTTGGAGATTTCCTACACGATTGACTAAAAGCACAATGTGAGCACACAATCACGCAGACTGGAATTCAACTCAACTTGGTCCAAAACCAACTCGGTCCGAGTCAACTCAATCTGAGGTCAACTCGGTCCCAAGTCAACTCGGTCCCAGGTCAACTCAGTCCCAAGACAACTCGGTCCCAGGTCAACAGTCTGTGTGAAAAAAATGAAATTTACATAATTGTAGGGCAGATCTCAAGCCGGGACCGGACATCATTCCACGCACACTTCAATTAATGTTGTTGAGCGCTTGGTGCCGGCCGAGTGCACATAATTAAGACCATGTTCATCATAGTTATTTATTACATAATATTGACATGCAAAGATTCAATTTTTAACATACCGTTTAAAGACGTCCACCAACAATGAAGGAAATCAAGCAAACAAATGTGCAAATAAACACTTGCCAAGGATCATTGGTGATCCTCAAACAATTTGATTTGGGCAACTTCTGTTTGTATTTTTGGTTTGATATCATAATCCGAAGTGAATATTTTTTATCTTGCTGTGGTTAGTGGAAAGAAAGGTGTCCAGGTATGACGACATCCGCAACTCTGAAAGTTATGGAAGATGAAAAATTATGGCCATTTCCCTGTGTTGGAAAGTTTTGAATGTTACGGCTTGAAATAAAGTCATGCAATCTCTCTTTAATTAATGATATTTCCCTTTAATAAAGACCAAGTTGACTTGGGACCGAGATGACTTGGGACCGAGTTGACCTGGGGCTGAGTTGTTCTGAGACTGAGTTGACTCGGACCGAGTTGGTTTTGGACTGAGTTGACCTGCACCCCGCAGACTGAATAATTGGAGATATATATGCAAATGGACATATGAAGTCAAGGCACAGACGCAACCATTCACATGATATGGTATCTGTCACTGGTTCCCTGTAGGCATCTGTCACTGGTTCCCTATATACTACTTGATTTTTCTATAATTACCCGTTAGCAGAACCTTGTTCCTCACCAAATACACCATATATAGCATGAGATTCCAAAGCAGAAGCCCTAATTTCGCTTTTCACTTGCATCCATACTTGCGCATGTGCATTTCTTGTACAACCATTCATGGTTTGGCTTAATACATGTACGTCATGATGCATATAGGCCTATGCCTCAATAATTGTGCACAACATAAAGTAGGCCTAGGCCTATGTATGTCTTGTACACAGCCACATTCTCGTCCTCTTGCTTTTAAGTTTACATGGAGCTATTGGTTGCTGTCATTTTTTTCAATTTTCCTAGTTTCTTTCAGGCCTACTTTTACTCACTTGTTTCACTCTGAACTGAACTGGTGCAAATGAGTTCCATACCTGGACCCTGTTGTGTGCAAATGAGTAGGCCTAGGCTACCTGACTGCTGGTCAACTCATAGGCATGCCAACTCATACGCACCAACTTAAATGCATGCCAACTTGTACACCTACCAACTCATACGTCGACCAACTCGTACGTCGACCAACTCGTATGCTGTGAAATTGCATTCGCAGTTGAGTTAATACACTCGTGATCGAACTAGAAATACATGTACGTTCGGCGTTTTACCCAAAAGTACCCAAAAAAGCATGTCTTTTTTTGTTCTGCTCGGAGCGAATAGGGACTCCACCTCCGCTTGCATATAGTGTGCACACAGATTTTCTAAGCTATCATAGGAAAATAATTGAACTACAAACAAAATTTATGAATCAAGCAAGAGTAGGATAATTCAGGAAGGTGAATGGGGCAATCTTTATTTCTATCGGGAAATGTGATAACTACCACGATAATAGAGTAACCCGTTCTGCTTTTGATTTAACTCTACGTTCCGGGAAACTGCTCGGGTAGGTCGGGCAACTTGAAAAGGGGCAAAATGAGCAGATTTGAGTGGACCACTTATTTCATTAGCACCAAGTGACCATTCCATCCCTAACTTCAGACTTACGTTAACAACTGTCGGAACAAGCTGTTAATCTGGAAAACACGACGGAGAATGGCGCCTTTTCTGTAAACGTTACAGAGTTTTCACCACGAAGATGCACGGACCGAGTCGTGCCGCTTTAAGTTTCCATAGAAATGATCCTAAGTAATTGCGACCCATAGGTGGCGCTCTTGTACTTACCCAGAAATATTACACAGATGACTGGCCCGTACGTGCCTGAGTGATATCTCATGTGCCTGATATCACACGTGCCTGTTGTATAGTCGTCATTTATGTGATAATTTTAAGTAATTTCTCCTGACTCTTGAATTCTATAGCACATACACACAACTCTGCAATGAGAGCAATAGTTCAAAGGGTGACTAAGGCAAGCGTAACAGGCAAGTAGGCCTAGTTCAGTATTTATCCTTGCATGTGTTCTGGACAGGTTGCAAGCGAGCTTCACGTCCTGACGTATGACGTTATGATGGAGAAAGGATGTGTAACGTTATTCAGTCTCACCATGGTCTCACCATGGAGGTGGTCTCACTAAACTAAACTTTCAGTCTGTTTTTTATCATCTAGGTTAACTTGTCAATAGTTTTAAAAGCGAAGGGTCTTACATGTAAATGTCTTTTCAACTGTGGAAATTTGTGCTGATCAGTGCAGATTTTCTATATTGTAAGCGAGTGCATATTTTAAGTCAGTGCAGATTGAGCACAGTCTTTGAATGTGCATTTTTGTGCCTTGAATTGTGCGATTTTCCAAGGGAGTAGGATGATTGCCCGGCCGGCAGTGCAGGGTGATTGCCATTCCCTTCGAAGTCTTCACCTGTATGGCACCAGTTAAGCTGGGAAACTGTTGCCTTGAATAAAGGTTAGGATTCCGATATAAACTAGTACTAGTTTTGGGGTCGTTTCAAAAATCTTATTTACCCAGATTGGGACTGGGATCCTACTTTAATTGCAGATTTTTTCTAATTAATATGGCTCTAAGAATTGCCGAATTAAATGTCAACAAGAGAATTTAATTGTTTTCACAAGGCAGCATTCATCAAAATGCTCAAATGGTAAAATTTACTATAAAAATCTTACAAGTTACATGTCGCGGCTCACCAACGTGACATATCGTTCCCCAGCACTGTAAGTACAGGTGCATGTATGTGCCATGCTTTACATGCAGCTCACAAGTCACGCACAAACCAGGCCTGAAAAGTCCTGCAAAACATGTAGTTGATGTCAGTCTCTTACATATGAGTGTTGCCTCTGGTTTCATGTATCCACACAAGTTTATTGCTGTGTGCAGGTTTTATGGCAATATCTGTGGTTGTGCAAAATTAAAAAATCCTATGCGCATATTTTAATTTTGCGCAATTTTGAATGCTGCGCTCAACACACCTACATGTATGAAAGTCACCAGCTCGTAGATTCACCTGTTTTCTGTAGGATGACATCCTTAGCTAGCCGTAGCCACTAATTCATATGTGACCCTAGCCGCTATTCCTGTCTGCTGTGTATACAGAGACACCTGTGCAAAGTGTATATTCAGTAGTACGTCATCCTCATCTGTTCCTCCATTTAATGCAAGGAAATTCACTTTTTCCTTCACTGTTAGATTATTGCTTGTCTTTATTGCATGTAGTTGGAGATGAGTTGATAAGCTCCATTGGGAAGGGATTGTGTGTCCTAGTTGGCATATCGCGAGACGACACTCCTAAAGACAGGGAATACATGTAAGTCACCCTTCATTCTGTAACTCTTGTTTCACTCAGATTATCCAGGAAATAATAAGTCTTGTTAGTGTCTTTCAGAGTAGGAACTTCATCCTTGGAGGCATAAGGTAATTTCTCCTTGTCAAATGGCACTTGAACTAGAAAATTAAGTTGTGAGTGGGACAGTTTCAGTAGGTAGCAAGGCAAAGACCAGGAAGTTCATTGCCTTCATTATTCATTTTTGGTCTGTACATGTCAAGGTGCTTTGAGTTTTTAATTTCGTGAACAAATCTCTCTCTGATTCAAACTCGGAACTTATCCACACTCAAAATGTGCAAAATAAGTTTTAGAAGCAGTCTTTTATTTGTTTTACCAGTTAACGGAATTTGGTCCCATTTTCAAATAGGTTGTACTTAATTATTTCTGTGCATGAATTGGCTTGACTTCACAGTTTTATGTTGCGTCTGTTTTGCCAAAGGCCTGATAATTTTAATGTGTCAAACTGTTCTGTTTTTTTATGGTATGTTGGTCTTGGGCATTAGAGCTCGGAAGCTGTTGAATCTGCGAGTGTTTGAGGACGATAAAGAGAAGAAATGGGATAAGAGTGTGATGGACAAGCAGCTGGAGATGTTGTGTGTCAGTCAGGTGAGTAAGATGTGGAGAATATCTCTTCAGTTTGGTGAAACAGGCTCCCGTTGCAACTGGAGTTCTGTGAGTAGAACATCCATTAGGGACTCTTGATGATGTATACATGGTAACAGCAGAGATGAATCCAGCTATGTTTCACTGGACATTCCTGATGGCCCCCGTTAATGACAGAAAGCGATGTGTTAGGTTTTGTACAGAGTGACTGTCACAAACCAGTGACTCCATGCAGTAGTTACCACAATTGACTTTCCACCATTGCCCGGTACTGCTGCCAAGAACCAATGATGGTGTTACCATGGTCACCAAGTTTATCTGTATGAGTTACATGTATGTCATATGTGATGGCTTGTCTGTGAACAAAATGTGTACAGATGACCTCGGTATTGTGTCGTCTTCTTACACATCCCACAAACATGTTTCTGATGATTTCAGAAGTCACAATTGGAGGCAGATACCAAGGGCCTGCAAATTTCACACAGATTGGGGTCTCGATCAGCTATCTGTCATTGTTTCACTGACACCAGAACCCACCTCATGAAAAGAGTGAACCATCATCGGGATCACTGACGGAGATCCAGATCCCTGCGTAACAAACAGGCCCACTGTTTTGATTTTGTTTTACTTCAAGCAAACCTTGCCGCCAGTATGCAGTTGAAAACATTGGTATTAGTTTAATTCTACAGGAGGGTTGATGTGCTGATCGCAAGCAGACATGTACATTATGAAGCATGCATTGTCCAGGGAAGTGATACAGACTCACTGTACGCAGAAGCTGGCAGACTGTCCTCCGGGCAATATGCATGATAGTACAATCATCTACCTTGGAGACTTTATGGCATCTACACCACTAGAAGCAGTCCCCCTCTCCTAACACAAACACTCCTGTGGACATTACCTACATGAACCTTCCGTGGACATTTCCTTTGTTTTTGTGTCGTTAAAAAAAACTCTCTGAATGTACTCGTTCTTCTTCAACTGTGAATACTAAAACTAGATTTTTGATGGTGCTTCCCTTGACTGTTCCTCTTCATTTTGCGAAAGATATCCCTGACCCCAAAATGCCTCAAAACCTGTTTTCCAATTGTAACCTTAACCCTAACCCCCAGGNTAGTCCAAAAATTGGTAAAGCAAGCCAGACACTGTACAGGGTAACCGTGTGTGACCCAACTCACACAGAATCCAACACCATCTCCCTGGGCCTTTCATCCCAAGTCTCACAAAATTCAACTAAGAAGTTCTTCAGGTACAGTACCAAACCTGCCAAAACCGCACAAAACCTGCTGTTGGAGTAGGGCAGGTTTTGGGCAGTTAGGGTTAAGTGGTCCTGGCTTAGTCCACACAAGGTTCACATAACCTACATGTACTTTATGAGGACCTCTTTTGTTCGTGAGTCCACACTAAGTATTTAAGCTTCGTACACACACTGGCCAAGAAGAGACATCCTAGTAGAAAAGATCTCAACTTGACATCCAGCTCACTAGAAGACTGTACAGTTTAACCCTAACCCTTCCCAATCCTCCAAATCCTTTGGGCGGGTTTGGAGGATTTTGGAAGATTGAGGGTGAATGGCTTATTGCAAAGGATGCCATGCGTGAAGGTCGTGGGTTAGACCTTGTGTTGTTTTTGCTTAGTCATGTATAAATTCAGCCCCCATATTTCTTTTGAATCAACCGCACTGCTCAAGAATGCCATTCGCGCTGCCTTAACACAGTGACAGGAATTGCCCGAGGATTTTGAAGGATTGAGGCAGTAGGCACACCTCCTAGTATCATTTTCAAGAAATTTTGAAGGATTTCAGAGGATTGAGGGAGAATCCAATTTTTTCGACCCCCAAATTGGAGGATTTGTGGAGGGTCCCTAACAGAAATGGACTAGGGGGTCAGAAATTGGTTGTGTGTGCTCAGTGCGCTTAACCTGAGAATACCAGCAGTGTTTTACCCACCAAAAGGATACTGTATGTTTGTTAACAGACATTATCTCTTCCTGCATGGATGTTGCCCAATGTCTTACTGAAACAAAGAATGATGTCTCGAAAGTGAAAGTTTGGTTATGAGGCCAGTGAATTATAATAACTTCATTTCATCTTCATTTTGTTGCAGTTCACACTGTACTCCATACTGAAGGGCAACAAACCTGATTTCCACTCGGCTATGGCTGGGGATCAGTCGCAGCAGTTCTACCAGGAATTTCTAGACATTCTACGCAAAGATTACAAGCCAGAACAAATCAAAGGTAAATGATGTAGTTGTCTGAACTTTGTTTTTAGCTTAAAGCTTGTCAGGTGGCATGGTTGGGTGGATTAATCCATGGGGATGGCAGGCTGATTCGTTGGTTGACTCGTCTGGCAGACTGTTTGAGTGAATGGCTTACTGGCTGGTTGATGTGCTGTTGGACATGACAGGCTGACTGCTTGAGGGTTTACCAGTTGGCTCATTGATACTTCAGAAGGCTGTTTAGTGTAATGGTTGGCCAGTTGGGTTGGAGGATTAGTAGCTAACTACGTTGACCAGCTTAATTGGCTTGAAGGTTGGTGAGCATGATGGTCAGTTGGCCAGGTCCGCTAGTTGGCTCCCAGATGGGCTGATTAGGTTGCAAGCTAGCCAACTGGGTTGCAGGTTAGATAGTTGGCCTACAGGTTGACCAGTTAGCTGGTGGGTAGACCAGTCGGCTTGCCGGTGGGTTACATGTGCTGCTGGCAGAAGTTGTTGCGATGCTTTGGTAAACATCTACTTCTATTGAATCAATTCTTAGTGTTGCAACCTGTCGTTTCAATCAACAGATGGCAAGTTTGGTGCCTATATGCAAGTCCACATTCAGAATGATGGTCCTGTCACCATCATGCTGGAGTCACCCTGCGAGACCAACAGAAACGCTAAGGCCCCCCTCACACCAATACCAAGGACTGCCAGACAAGTATGCAGTATGCCTTGTTTGCAAAAATAGATCCATGGAGGGACTGTATAGGTCACACTCAGTGTATAATTTTCTCATGTAATTTGCATAATTTGTTATATGTACAGTTGTTAGCATTTACATGCTCNAATGGAATGATGAATTGTTGAAGGATTTTGAAAACGGAAAAAATGATAGTCATGCCGGCCCAGCATCCCAACATTGCAAAATGCCCCGGCACGAAGTGGTTAACACAGTGACAGGAATTGCCCGAGGATTTTGAAGGATTGAGGCAGTAGGCACACCTCCTAGTATCATTTTCAAGAAATTTTGAAGGATTTCAGAGGATTGAGGGATGATCCAATTTTTTCGACCCCCAAATTGGAGGATTTGGGAGGATTGTGGAGGGTCCCTAACAGAAATGGCCTAGGGGGTCAGAAATTGGTTGTGTGTGCTCAGTGCGCTTAACCTGAGAATACCAGCTGTGTTTTACCCACCAAAAGGATACTGTATGTTTGTTAACAGACATTATCTCTTCCTGCATGGATGTTGCCCACTGTCTTACTGAAACAAAGAATGATGTCTCAAAAGTGAAAGTTTGGTTATGAGGCCAGTGAATTATAATAACTTCATTTCATCTTCATTTTGTTGCAGTTCACATTGTACTCCATACTGAAGGGCAACAAACCTGATTTCCACTCGGCTATGGCTGGGGATCAGTCGCAGCAGTTCTACCAGGAATTTCTAGACATTCTACGCAAAGATTACAAGCCAGAACAAATCAAAGGTAAATGATGTCGTTGTCTGAACTTTGTTTGTAGCTTAAAGCTTGTCAGGTGGCATGGTTGGGTGGATTAATCCATGGGGATGGCAGGCTGATTCGTTGGTTGACTCGTCTGGCAGACTGTTTGAGTGAATGGCTTACTGACTGGTTGATGTGCTGTTGGGCATGACAGGCTGACTGCTTGAGGGTTTACCAGCCGGCTGATTGATACTTCAGAAGGCTGTTTAGTTTGATGGTTGGCCAGTTGGCTTGGAGGATTAGTAGCTAACTACGTTGACCGGCTTAATTGGCTTGAAGGTTGGCTAATTGCTGAGCAGGATGCTCAGGTGGCCAGGTCGGCTAGTCGACTCCCAGATGGGCTGATTAGGTTGCAAGCTGGCCAACTGGGGTGCAGGTTAGATAGTTGGCCTACAGGTTGACCAGTTGGCTGGTGGGTAGAGCAGTTGTCTTGTCAGTGGAATACATGTACTGCTGGCAGAAGTTGTTGCGATGCTTTGGTAAACATCGACTTCTATTGAATCAATTCTTAGTCAGTGTTGCAACCTGTTGTTTGAATCAACAGATGGCAAGTTTGGTGCCTATATGCAAGTCCACATTCAGAACGATGGTCCTGTCACCATCATGCTGGAGTCACCCTGCGAGACCAACAGGAACGCTAAGGCCCCCCTCACACCAATACCAAGGACTGCCAGACAAGTATGCAGTATGCCTTGTTTGCAAAAATAGATCCATGGAGGGACTATATAGGTCACACTCTGTGTATAATTTTGTCATGTAATTTGTGTAATTTGTTATATGTACAGTTGTTAGCATTTACATGTACATGCCCNAAGTATAATTTCCACAGAAGGGAATTTTTGAAAAAAAAATACAAAAATACTACCTCTTGTAGAGTTTCAGGACATTTGAAAAATTTACTTCAAGCCTTGTACTAGCTAAGCTGATTTCTGACACAAATCAGCATTCAGGAATTCTGGAACGTACCGCTGTGGAACAAAATGGTATTTAAATGTAATTTTTCTCCTTTTTTTTTCAAGAGTGGCAGTGCCACACCAGTTGCCGTGGTAAAGGGACAGCAACAGGATAAGGTGAACGAGAAAGCTTGCCGTTACGTCAAGAGTCTCACCACAGAGTTTGCAGGTCAAGATGGTGTCCATCAAGAATTCAAGAACACTCTCACCAAATACAGGGACAGTCAGTAAGTGACATAACTGAAATTTCTTATCTTCAGCTCTTTTGGTTGTGTTTTTTTAAGATTAGTGGGGTAATCTGTTGATTTTTCTGTCCTCCAGAAGTGCAATAGTAAAAAATCTAGGTTTTCTAATTTTTAATTCATTATTTTAGAGCATTTCTCATTCTTCAAAACAGTATAACCAGATTAAGGTTTTGCCATATGTTATGTTTAGTGCCCTTTTGTTATTGGGGTATGCACCTTGAGCACAAGTACCCCCTCATTGTTTGAGAAGAGCCATGTTGTAAGGGAGCATTCACCAGCGAAGTGCGGTTCCCACCAAAGGAGCCTTCGTTGCTAGGAAATATGTGCTTTCTCTTTTTCCCTCTCGGGATGGATTAGACGCAAATGATACACTGAGTCTTTCAGGGGTTTGAATATTTAATTTTCACATTCTGCCACGGCACTGTTCATAATGGGGTAATTAGTGGGAATGTGAATAAAACAAAATCCAAAACAAAAGTGAGCTGCCTTGAATTCTTGTTCATTTCTCTGTCACAGCCTTGGTCCAGGTACAAAAATCCTGCACCATAAATGTGTAGAAGTGCCTTTAATCATCCCCGTAAAAAAATGGTCAGTGAATTTATGTCTGTGTGTAAACAGAACCTGCCTTTATTTTTCTTACTATAGACTCAGCACTGCTGAATTGATGCTTCATGTCGGTACCCTCTTCACTGGTCACACACAGCTTATATGCAGCTTCACAGCCTTGTTGCCTACGGGCCATAGCATGTCCATCGCAAACAATGACCCCAGTCAGGTTAGAGTTCACATGCCAGGTCAGAGGTACATGTCGCTGGAGGAGGTCAAGAAGCACATTGAGCAAAGTCAGGTAAGTGTTGGAGGCCGCTTTGCAAGAATTTCTGCTTCATTTTCGTCTTAGCTTCATCCCAAGTTTGACATTCATTTTTCAATTGTTTATTTTAATCAAATGAAGAAATTCAGAACTGTGGCCCTGTATAGAATATTTCTGCTGGAGGAAATGCAGCTTCATTGAATTTGAGAATGTCCTGTGAAGGAACTAAATTCATAGTAAAGTTGTAATGAGTCACCAATGTTTATGACTCAAGTCGAGTCACCGTAATTTAGAGCTTGAGTTTGGACAGGCAAAAAAGTTCAGTCAAGTATTTAGATTGAGTCAATTTGAGTCACCAATATTTGAACACAGTATGATAAATAAAAATAATATAGAAAGTCATTTGTGGCTTTTTTAAATTTACCTCCGGATTTCCACATGTGGCCACATCATATCTAACTCTTGATGATAACACATAACATAAACATTATAAGTAAGTCATTGCAAATATTTTCTGGCTGAGAAGTTTGCTCTTATTTTTTGGACTTGAGTTTTATTAACTTTCATTTGAGTCCGGTCTTCTGATGAGGGACTTGAGTCAAGTCATTTGCCCAGCCGTGACTCGAGTCGAGTCCTTTACCTGTCCGGACTTGAGTCGAGTCACCAAAAAATGGGACTTGGGCCTGACTCGAGTTGAGTCATTACAACTCTAGTCTGAAGCCAGATTCTTATAGACAAGGTTTTGAAAGTCCCGTATTTGTGAGGTTTACCAGCCGGCATGCATGCAATCGAGTCAGTACATATGAGATCACTGCACCATAAACCATGCCCACTTACAAGATCAGCTGCCAAATACATGGGAAATTGCAGATGCTTAGAATGTAGTACCCTGGAATGTTAAAGTAAATGTCTGCCTGACAGAGACAAAAAGAAACAGTGATATCTCTGTTGGAAGTTTACATTCCTTATAATGTAAAAGAGAAGAAGAGATAGTAATGTACTGAACGGTAATTCGTTTTATTTCAGAGTGAGAAATAACCGAAGGGGTGCTTGCATCAGAAATGTGCTTCCATGAATTTTTGATCACCAATCAGGGGATGGGTTATGCCCAGACTAGACCTATTTCACTGTGGTGTGTACGTGTATAAATGCATACCTACATGTACTCATCAGGTAACTTAAAAAGCATGGACTCACAGCTGTTTTTGCGGTACAGTTTTTCCCAGAATTTCTCGTCATGTCACACCGGGGAACATGTTTTTTTGCAATGTTACCGTCCTTAACATTTATGGGGTTGATGTCTGTGGCTTTCTTTGTCATGGACATGCCATGAATTTAGTCAACATATGTATGTGTGTGTGTGACAACATCATCATAATTATCCCAGCTTATTGTGAACACAGCTACTATAGTCTTACCAGTCATACTAAAATTAACAAGGGTTAACAGTCTCTAGGACAGGACTTTAAAATGAACTAGTTCAGCAATCCAACGGAGAAATTTCCAGATTTCTCTTTAAGTTCACCATCACCCGGGGAATGTCCATCTATAATTGGCACAGCAATATTGATGCATCCAAACATACAGCATCTCTGTAAGTGTGCAGAAATGTCAGTCAGTGAAAGATGATCGCTTTGGAAGAAAAAAAAATCTTGTCTCACCCTCGCCAGACGAATTAGCTTAGTAATGAGTTAGCCAATTCAAGGTCAGGAGAAGAACATTTGTCTTCCAAACGGGCGTCAGCTTTGTCACCTACCGATCTGAGCCACGAATCCTTTTTTCTCTTTTTCCCTTTGAGCTTGAGGGTGATTTATGTGGAGAGATGTATCATCAGTAATGCGTCTTATAACCGTCATGCTCATGTTAGAGTAGGCTCCACGTTTCTTTACACCAAGTAGTGAAACTTAAGTGTTAGGTATTTCAATATTCACATGAATATGAAGAAGAATTTGGTTTTTATCATTAATGTTTAGAGAAGAAATAGTAAAAGAGTACATACTGATTTCAGAATATTTTTATTTATTGATTCCAGGTTTGTAATGCCAATTACTAAACTGAATCTGTTAACCTTTTACGGCTTATAACTCTGACTGACTTCAAGTTATCGAATGCAGAACTGTGCACAACACCTGTTCATGGAATCCAGCGGAGACCTTTAACTTTCCAAGAATCAATCCCTTTATATGTCCCCAGTACTTTCACACTGACTGCTCAGTGTAATTGAGGGTTTCCCCTGCAGTGGAAGGACCTTCACATTTCCAATGCCATTGTGGCATGAATATCACTCTCTTATTGTCCATGAATCTCATTTGCTGTAGGCGACTAGTGCTTTCCTGTATTTCTCTTCAAGTCTTTCTGTTTTCCAGTCAAGTTGGAATCTATCGGAATGGTATTTACGAGAGTCAGTTGGTATCAGTGGTTGGGGAGACATGGAGATGTTCCACTCCTCCATCAGATGTCTGCTTCCCTGGGTACTCCTTTCCCCTTTTGGCACCTTTAAATAAACCGCATATGTAGACCAGCCAAACTTCATTTGCTTTAATTATACCCTTGACAAAAATGCATGGATTCCCAGGTGCCCTTTGCCCCCTCCATAAATTTCACCACAGGTGTTGGTTCATGTATACGTATTAGAAACACCAACTGGATTTTTAAAAATGCAAGTAGAAAAACACATGGGAAAATGCTAGAAGCAACTTTGCGTGGCATTTCTTTCTGTTTGCTGCCCTCTGTTGTTCAGTTGATCTCAGTCCTCCAGAATGTTTGAACACTGATCTTGTACTGTTCATTCAAATACTTCCCTCACGCTAACCCTTGCTTTTGTCACAGGTGTAGATAGAAGGTTGTAAATGAGCGATCCCGGGTTACTCAAGTTGCCCAAAATGGGTCAAAAGGTCATGTAGCAATTAAATTTACCAAATTAAATGACCTGTCAAAAGTAATGGACATCCACACGCAGATTTCTTGCCTTTGTCATTTCTACATGCAACAGTTTTTTCTGAATTTTTTACAACAATTAAACTTTCCATCACGTCATGTGACTTAAGATTTACATTGTTGTGTTGTGGGATATCTCCCCAAGTAACCAGCTTGATTCAGTTACCTGGGCCAGGCGTGAGTGAGTGTGAGGAATCACATGAGTGTCGAATCAAATGCGGTCGTACTTGAATGAATAAACGTAGGGAACACTGATCGAGGGACGTCAGATCTAAGTTACTATTGGCTGGCATATCATAACTATTACGGGCTTGTACTTGTTGGCCGCTTTTGTTATACTTACACAAGGAGTGTTTCTGTACAAAATACCTTAAACCCAGGAATTATTTTTATTATTCGATACTTTGTGAAAAATGCGGAAAAATACACACACGACTGGTGGGCCGAAACAGGTGGCAGTCCTCTTTGAAAAATGGAGTCACAGAGGACTTGTTTGTGTGCAACAATGGGTACACAAGCTATCTATTCAGGAGAATTGCAGAGATCAGAGTGTGTGCATTTCCTTGGCAGGTGTGGGCACAGGAAGGGGATGGCAGCTGGTGGGACTTTGCCAAGGGCAGGGTTGTATCTGAGTCAATTTTGAATTGATTTATTGTAACTGCATACAAAGCTTTCTTCCGGCACAGAACTATTAATAAACATAGAAATGAAAAAAAACAAACGAACAGATCTTACAGATTGCACTAACAAAGAAACTGGTCAACTCTACCTTTTCTCCCCCCCTATGGACATTTAACCAGGAGCCTCCCCTGAACTTTGACAGTCAATGCCAGGCTCTGTAAGCGCATTCTCAGTGTAAAAGAATCATGATATATTCATGATACTGTCTCAGGGTTTGTATGTATAATCTCTGCAGAATCGTGGTAAAGCCAAGTGTTGGAGGTGTTGGTAATCAAAAATTGGTCTAAGAGAAAAAAAAAATAACCCAACAAACAAGCCAACAAACACCCCATCAACAAACAAACCAAACAATGGCAACGGACAAGAATTTTAGGAGGGCAGTCTGTGGTTGTATTTAGGGGATTCCATAAATATGGGACCCAATATGTGACGTTTTTGGTGTTCTCCTAACACATGAAACAAATTTTGAAGATCGGTTGACACTACAACAGAAAGACACTTGGAAAAAGGAAAGTGGTAAAAATGACAAGCTTGTGTGCTGCCTAATATACTGTTAACTGGACGAAATATTTCATTGAGTTGTTACAGTATAAGGTGCCAACAAACTGATTGGTTTCATGCGTGAAGAGGACACCAAAAATGTCACAAGTTGGGTCCCAAATTTATGGAATTACCCATTTCCTTCAGATGAAATCAATTTTTGTTCTGCTAAAGGTAAAACAAAAGACAATCAGAAAAACGTATACCAAAAAGTCAGAGGTGGACAGATGTTGTTTTCCTGAATGCTCCCTAAAACACAGATAGTGAAAGTTTCATTTGTCAAAATAAATTCATTTCCCAGAAATCTCCAGGATGTTGCACAGCTCAGGGTACCCAACTTGACAAGAGGCACAAACCTGAATAACCGCTGCCATATAGAGAGTAATCTAATCTAATGCTGTCATGTGATTGGACTGTTAGAGCTAGGCTGGTGACAGTAATGGACAACTGGCAGGGTTTAATGGCCGTTGGGGAACATGTGTACTGTAATTGTCAGATGAAAGGAGGTACCGAGATAAGAGTGTGTGATAGAATGTGCCTGTATTGGGAGAATTTTAATATGTATTTGATCGGCTTCATCGGTTTCATGAGCCATATTAATCCTGTTGTACTTTGCAGGGTTTTTTGTACAACGTATTGCAATTTCTAAATGGATATGGAGAATCGTTTTTTTTTACCCAAAAGTAAACCTACATGTTTATAGGTGAAAAACATTCTCAGAGCAAATATGAGATTAATTACAAACAAAATGCTGTATTTTATGCACACAGTGAAATGACTTGAAAATGTGTGCCCATGAAATTGGTCTTGGGTGCCCCTGTGGTTCTGCTAAATGGAATTCTTCTCAACTTTTACATTTTCTGGTGCTTTCAGCATTT